TCAACTTTTTCCTGTTTAACCGACAATACATCCATTATCAAGAAAGATTGTTCAAAATATTGAGTGTAGAATAGAAAGTGTATACTTGATCTAGACAAGTTTTAGTCTTATTTCTTTTGTATCCAATAAATTCTTGCTTTTGAGATTGAACATGTTTTTCTAACTTTAATCAAATGGTTTTGAAAATGGCGTTTGATTGAACACTTCTCTTGATTTACAGGATTATTGTTGTTTTATTTAATATCATTAGACTGTGTGCCTATTTCCCATCACAATGATGCAATGTAAGTTATGTTTATATGTTTTCTGTGATCGGTAGATCTGAATAGGATATAGACCATAAATTATCAGAGGTTATAAATTGTCAAAGGTTTATTCTTATCTACCATGACAATTTCTTTCAAGTTTTTAATAAAACATCTATCGCTTTTGTACAATGTTTTAGCCATTACATCTTATCAATGTATACTCTATTATAGATATATTTCGATTTATGTCTATTTTGTAATGATTGTTTCCATTATTACTCGAGTTGTGATGATTTGCCAGTTTGTGTACACCTAGATATGGGAAAGAGAAGTGCAATCTTTCAATGTGCGTTACGTAGTGTTCTCTTTGTTTGAGCTGTTTTTATTTACCGGTAAAGCATTGTTGTTCTTGCCTTGATCAAATCTGCAATCATCTAAAAGCAAAGTGTGAATCCCTCTTTTTGTTATATTTCCAATGTTCAATGATTTGCAGGACTGCTGTAACGCGTTATTGACATCCGGAATGTATTGACTATGTAAATATATATATATATATATATATATATATATATATATATATATATATTAGATAGCTTAGACAGATACCGAGATGTGATTGGTCCAGAGCTCGTCACATTTATACTGTTCTCAGCTGAGGAATCACATTGCATTCATTCACGTCTTTCCACAAACTTTTTTTATATCTGAACTTATTTTTGAAATATATATAAGAATGTATATTTTTGTATGTGAATAAAGTGTAAACACCCATCGGTCCTGTCCATTTTTTTTAACCATTACATCTAATAAATGTATACTCTATTATAAATATATTTTCCATTTATGTCTATTTTGTAATGATTGTTTCCATTATTACTCAAGTTGTGATGATTTGCCAGTTTGTGTGCAGTACACCTAAATATGGGAAAGAGAAGTAGAATCTTGCAATGTGTGTTACGTTATATTCTCTTTGTTCAAGCTGTATTTAAAGCGAGAGAGGATGAGACGATAATAGATGAGAAACAATAAGAAGAAGAGAGAGAGAAAGCCAGAGAGGAAGAGATATAAAACAGAAGATAAAGATTAAGAGAAGGTATAAAGAGAGGATAAAGAGAAAGATAGTTGAGAGGTGAAAATAGAAGAGAAAGAAGAAGAAACCGATCGAGGGGGAATGGTATGGAAACAGAGGATAAAGAAGAAGGGAGAGAGAAAGCCAGAGAGGAAGAGATATAAAACGGAAGATAAAAATTAAGGAAGGTATAAAGAGAGGATAAAGAGAAAGATAGTTGAGAGGTGAAAATAGAAGAGAAAGAAGAAGAAGAAACAGAGAGAGGGGGAGAACGGTATGAAAACAGAGGATAAAGAAGAAGGGAGAGAGAAAGCCCAAGGGGGAAAAGAGATAAAATGGAAGATAGTTGAGAGATGAAAATAGAAGAGAGAGAGAGAGGGAGGGGGGATAGACTATGACATACCAGACGAGATACAATAGACATGTTCAAACAAAAAGTATAAACCTGTACTCAAAATGACGAATGTTGTAAATGACTTCCCACAGTTACAGTTAGGATGATTTATAACAAATGGCTTTTGGAATATAGTAATCTTTGAGGTCTTGTGTCGAGAAGCAGTGTCTGTGTTTCTTTTCATGGACCACAGGAAATACCATAATTTTGCTCTTACAGGTGCTCTATAAATCATAGTTTCAGCCGTACTCCAAAATTGATGTCTTCTTTATTGGTTGCAAAACTCCCTCGCATAATAACAACAACCCCCTATACATGTATAGCATACATATCAGTCTTGTATATGAACAAATGTGGACAGGCAAAGGCTGATTATGTGCATGAAAAACAAAGTTTATTTTTAAAGAAAGGGGCGTCGACCCAGGTCGGGTCTTGAAGAAAACTGCCAACATTGCATGCCAAGGCGGGCGGGGATCGTCTTATTTTTTCGCCCAGATTGAGCTCGCGAGGGGAATGAGGAAGGGGGAGGGGGGGGGGGAGGTTGTAATGTTCAATATTTAAGAGCACAAGTGGTTTGAGTCCATGATATTTGGTAATTTGGTATTTCATACAATTAACGTCAAGTATTGTGGAGTTATGAATATAATTACATATCCTCCCCCTGTATGGCCTCCCATCGCAGCAGCTTTCCTGACCTTCTTTTCTTCTGTAATTTCATAGCTCCTATTCCATTTTGTAGCCCTCACAGGCACGTAGCCAGAGTTCGATGTTGGGGGGGGGGGGGGGGGCACATACATGTAATCGATCGAGGTAAAAAAAAAAAGGGGTCTAAAAAAGTTCAAACGATCTTGGAAATTGTATGGGGGGCACGTGACCCCCCCCCCCCCCCCCCCCCGTGGCTACGTGCCTGAACCCTCACTCCAACTCTTAAATTTAAACTCTTTTTAACCTCCCTCCTTTTGTAACCCTACCTCCCACCTGCTCTCTATGATATCCCTTAATCTCCTTATCCCGTCATTGTCTGCAACATTATCTAATTCCCTTTATCCCAGTTCCTAATAACTACCTTAATCTCTCTAGCTCTCTCTCCCTCCTCATCTCTATCTCCACCCCCTCTCTCTGTAGATCTCTCTCTTTCTCTCTCTCTCTCTCTCCCTCATCTCTATCTCCACCCCCTCTGTAGATCTCTCTCTCTCTTTCTCTCATTATCTCTATCTCCACACCCCTCTGTAGATCTCTCTCTCTTTCTCTCTCTCTCTCTCTCTCCAACCCCTCTCTCTGTAGATCTCTCTCTCTCTCTTTCTTTCTCTCATTATCTCTATCTCCACACCCCTCTGTAGATCTCTCTCTCTTTCTCTCTCTCTCTCTCTCCCTCATCTCTATCCCCACCCCCTCTGTAGATCTCTCTCTCTCTCTCTCTCTCTCTCTCTCTCTCATTATCTCTATCTCCACCCCCTCTGTAGATCTCTCTCTCTCTTTCTCTCTCTCTCTCCCTCCTCATCTCTATCCCCACCCCCTCTGTAGATCTCTCTCTCTCTCTCTCTCTCTCTCATTTTCTGTTCCCCAGCTTCATTGCTCTTACACCCTCTCAATTTCCCTTCTTTCTACCCTCTTGTCACCCCTACTGCTCAACCCCATGTCCCTAATTGGCCTATATCAAATAAAATTGACCAGTTAACATAATTGATTCAAGGGAAACTGCCCACCTCCAACCCCCCCCCCCCCTCCCAATTGCTACATGTCCATGAGAGACTGAATCATTCACAGTGTATTGTATCTAAAAGGCCGGGAGTAGAATCGCAGGTTGATGATGCTGCTATATCTATCAATCCTAAAGCTATATGTATGAATTTCGAGACTTGAATTGCTTGAATACATTTGTGCAATGGTCTTTACCTAGACACTCTCGTTCAGTTTACACAATCACACTCCACATTGCACAATTTTAATACAATTGTACACAAACTAGACAAACATGTAAAAGTTCAATAATTTAATTATAACAATCCACAAGAGTACACTTGCTCGACATACTTTCATTTATGTCTCAATTCTGAATCATGATATCAAAGGTAATATGTCTTTCACATTTTAGGTAAAGTAACCCCTGAAAGGAATATGAAAACCATAAAGCAATCAACAGGTTTCCATTTTCTGTGTAAACTTGAATGAAATGAAATGATTGCACAAACTTCCAAGGAAGGATTTCATATTTTGATAGCAAAGATGTTTCCATACCAGTATTTTCAACACCATGAAGATACATTTAGTGTCTTGAATGACAAGCGAGCAATCAAGCAAGCAATCAAAAAAAAAAAATCAGGATTAACAATAATAGTACGGTAATAATGATAAAACAGTCGAACCTGCTTTAGTGACCACCCGGATAGAAAGACCACACCTGTCTACAAAGACCACATTTTTTTTCCCCTTGAAAATGGTTTTTCATTGAAACATGTACTAAAGGAACCTGTCTATAAAGACCACTTGTTTCCCTTGGGTGGTCTTTGAAGACAGCTTTCACTGTAATAATAATGGGTTCTTGTATAGCACTCATTTGACACTCCTAGACCAACTGCACATAATTGCGGCTACTTTAAAGCTGAATGAGAGCTAAACAGCAGATGTTATCACAGCCATGGACAAGGTACAGCAGATCCCTCGAGAGCGCCAGGGAAGATGAATCAACCCCGGCCCCAGTGTTATTTAGGGTACGCATATATGCCTGTCCCCTCCTTTTGAAAACACCCCCTAAGTCAGTTTTTGTGTATGTACGAGCCGAACTTTGGTGCGTGAAAAGTACCCCTTTACCGGACATTTTGGTAACAGTATGCAGTCATTCCGACCCTGGAGTGGTGGGGGGGGGGAGGGGGGGGGGAATCAACCTGGAGGAAGCTAATGGGAATGCGGAGGGGCCAAGTGCTTCTGATGCGGCCGAGAAGGACATCTCACGAAGAATTATAGGAATTATCCAGCGAAGGGGAAAACTTGCAAGAAGGACACTTTGCATCTGTTTGCGAAATGCTGCAAATCAAAGGACAATAACAAGCATTTTTGGTAAGAGAAAACCAGGGGAACAAGGAGTGAATAACGTACTTGAGGCCGACAATGAGGACAACTAGGACAAAAGAGAGACGATTCTTGTTGTTTCAATGTGGGAGGTACAGTAAACCATTTCTCTCACTGTGGATCAATCTGAGGTACATGTAGATATACATGTAATTGTGGACAGTGGGACGGTATTCTATTCAAGTATCTGGGTTAGGAAGACAGCTAATATAGAGGCAGAGTTCTACGTCATAAAAGGAAAATGGTCAGCATTACTAGGCAGACATGTAGACAGTTATCAAGCTAGGCGTGTCTAAAATAAAAATAGAAGTCAATTTTGTAGATGGTGTACATGACTGGTACCCAGAAGTAAAGTGACCGACTACAATCTAGAACTACATGTTGACGAGACTGTGACACCTGTAGCTCAACGCATGTACAGAGTACCCTACAGTATGTGACAAAGAGTAGATAAGCTTGCATCATTGAACTATAGATCGAGGAGCCTACATCGTGGGTGAGCCCAGTCATGGTACATGTAGTACCTAAACCTAATGGATATTAACATACATCTCAATAAATCATAAGTACTTCTTAATGTATGACATTGATCTACATTTGCCACACTCCACCCAGGTGAAGTAAATGGGGACCGGTAGTAGGGATTCCTTACTACTGTGAGCACCAAAAGTGGTAGCCTAGCAGAGCCGGGGTAATATTGGAGCACTTTGAGCACCTTGCAGGGTGGATAAATTGGATATGTGCTCTATATAAATATCGAATATTATTATTAATATTAGTTGAGCTGTCAGTGTACTTAAATGTTTGTTGTTGTTGTTCAGTCTGTCCCGGAGGCTCCTCACCCTGAATCTTGTGTCTGAACATGTGAGATGTGAAGCTATGATTCAAGGTGAATGTCAGTCTGTCCTGGAGGCTCCTCACCCTGTACCTTGTATCTGAACATGTGAGATGTAAAGCTATGATTCAAGGTGAATGTCAGTCTGTCCTGGAGGCTCCTCACCCTGTACCTTGTATCTGAACATGTGAGATGTAAAGCTATGATTCAAGGTGAATGTCAGTCTGTCCTGGAGGCTCCTCACCCTGTACCTTGTATCTGAACATGTGAGATGTAAAGCTATGATTCAAGGTGAATGTCAGTCTGTCCAGGAGGCTCCTCACCCTGTACCTTGTATCTGAACATGTGAGATGTAAAGCTATGATTCAAGGTGAATGTCAGTCTGTCCAGGAGGCTCCTCACCCTGTACCTTGTGTCTGAACATGTGAGATGTAAAGCTATGATTCAAGGTGAATGTCAGTCTGTCCTGGAGGCTCCTCACCCTGTACCTTGTGTCTGAACATGTGAGATGTAAAGCTATGATTCAAGGTGAATGTCTTCAAGCAGATGTGGCATGTGAACGGTCTCTTCTCCTCATGCATACTCTGCATGTGAACCTGTAAACTATGCTTCACGGTGAACCCTTTCCCACACTGCAAGCACACGAAGGGTCGGATGCCCTTGTGGCGTCTCTCATGCTTGGTCAAGCCCCCTTTATCTGAGAACCCTTTGTTGCAGACAGGACAGAAGAAGCGCAAGGGGCGCGTCTGGTGCATCCGTCTCTTGTGCTGGTAGACGGCGTTCTTGACCCGGAAGCCACGTCCGCAGAGGTCACACTTGAAAGGCTTCAGACCGTTGTGTTCTCCTTGATGGTTGTTCAGAGCGGTCTCAGAGGCAAAGGATCGAGCACAGAGGTTACATCGGTACAACCGATGCTGCTCGTGGTTCTTGACGTGATCCAGGAAACGAGCTTCGTTCATGAACATCCTTCCGCAATCTGTGCATTTATAAGTTCCTTTACCTTCATGGACTTCCTTCTCATGCTCATACGCTTTGGTCTTATCAACATACCTCTTGGTGCAGTAGCGACATTTGAAAGGTCTTGGCTTGATGTAATAGTCGGCCGCTTTACCCAACATGTCTTGGGGCTCCTGAGGTTTATTTTTGGCTTTCCTGTTTCGAGACTGCATCGATAATCTTCCACTTTGCATTCTTGTTTTATTGCCTACGTTTGGAATTTCCTCTTCTTCAGGTACAGACGTTCTTTTTTCAATAATAGTATTTAAACTTCCAATAACATTTTTAATATTTTCATCAATATTCTCTGTCTGTTTCTTCGTTCTTTTTCCAATTTCTAGTTTCATCTTGCGGTCTCTCTTTTTAGGTGTGTCTACGACGTCCTTGAACTCTTTGTGTGTCATCTCGTGCTTCAAGCACTCTAGCTTCTTGGCAAATCGTGTGGAGCATATCCTACAGGAGTGATTCCTAACCACCGGTATACCATGCATATCACGCTCATGTCTGTACAGCGCACCTCTGGTCTTGTAGGCCTTGTCGCACTTGGTGCACTTATGAGTCCTGCTGATGTGTCTCGCCATGTGTTTCGTCAGCATGAAAGTATTCCTCTGCCTTTCCCCGCACACTGGACATGTGTGCTCTTCTGTGAATTCATGGAACATGGCGTGAGCTTCGAGCCTTCCTTCCGAAGGGAAGTTCTTCCCGCACACGGTACAGACATAGTGCTTAACCAGCTCAACTGCGTCTTCTGTCTCTGTCAGTTTCTCAGAGCCAGGTTGATTACTCTCGACTTCATTCTTGGTTTTCACCTTCCAGGTGACGATGGGACATAGTTCTTTGGATGTATCGGTCTCATGCTCAAACTTGACGTGTCTCATCATCCTCTTAGCGGACGGAAGCCTGGTGCTACATTGTTTGCATTCAAACTCGTCATCCTCTGTTGAAAAAAGGAGAAGAGAAAAAAGGATCACAACACTAAAAAAATACATGTAATAATTATCATTCCTGTTTTATTTATTAATGAAAAGCGCTTTGAGCATGTTTATCTAAAGGCGCTATATAAATATCAATATGTATGTAATACATTGTACAATATTTCCCTTTCCCCCCAATCCTTAACTTATTACGTAGGTGGTTTAACCTACTGTACCATCTACCTTATAAAATTGTTTCTTCAGGCATTTTCTAATAACCTCCGAGACATAATAGATTTTGAGGGCTATTTGTGAGAAGGGGAGGGGTTGGTTCATGAAGACCCAATAATTTGGCACACTGAAAGAATGTCTCTGTACCCATGTTGGACAAAAATTTGCAATTGATAATTATTCTTCTAAAGTCCCCCATGCAAGAGTATAATGGTCGGGTGAGCACCAGGGGGGTGTTCCACATAGATCCTAAGTTGAACTTAGAAATTATGGAGAGCCATTTGTAGCCTTAAAGTAAAATATATTCACAAGCAAATATTCAAGTATTTTAGACTTTTCATATATTCCACATCAAGAACATGAAATCTCCTTGACAATAGAAAATATGAATGATTTAAATCAACATTTGATGCCTTTCAAAATAACTTTTACAAAATATTTTCATATATATGCTAGCGGCTTTCCATAATTTTTAAGTCCAACTTAGAGATAAGTTCAACTTAGGATCTTTGTGAAACACCCTCCAGGTATATGAATATCTTACCTTCATTAAAGATGAGGTCATCCCACTTTGTCTTGAATCCTACCAGATCACTGTAAACCTCACTATAGAAGACCTTCAACTCCTCCCCAGGCTCAATCATCTTTGTTGCTCTGAAGTAGACATCACCGAACGACTGAATGGCCTCAAGGTTCTGTTCACATTCAGTCCGAGCGCTCTGGATGTAGGACATCATGTGAGAACGGCCCTTGCGTTTGCCATCAATATACAGGAAGACCTTCCCTCGTAAACACAGCTGTGATAAAATAAGATAGGACTTTAATATATTAATAATACTCAGTTTTTATATAGGACTTTTTACAATCACTAAGCGCTCCCAAACTTGGAGATTATTACCCCGGCCTAAGCTGTGCTGCCATTACGGCGCTCTAGCATTTCAAAGAATTAATTCCTGCCAGGTACCCTTTTACATCACCTGGGTTGAGTGTGGCAAATGTAGATCAATGTCTTGCCAAAGGACATTAGTGCCGCCGCGGGTCTCGAACCGCAGACGTTGTGATCGACAGTCTGGCGACTTAACCACTCGACCACGGCACCTCTACACCTCAATATCTAAATCATATTGTTTTAAAAACAGATTTCCTTACTTCTTCCTTGTTGATAAGAAATTTAAACAGTAAGAATTGCTTATCAATCCTTCTCACTCATGAAGTACTTGACTGGGCATTTAACGAAATTCAAAAAAGGTTCATGATTTGTTAAGTTCAATATCTTGAAACGATGTATGAAGTTACTTAGACATGTGAACAATGAAAAGAGGGTTTTACTGAGCCACATTCCATTTATGATAAGTCTGAAAACTTGATGGCACCTTAGAGGTGGCACCATGGCAAGAAAATACATTTTGATAATACAAAGCCCCCCTATGCCCTTTCCCTATCTCTGCTGGGGGGCATTTCATAAAGATGTGGGTGAAGTTATGCATGACTCTAGGATTCTCAAATCCTTTTAATTGCATAAGCTAAAGTTGAAATATGCAGATGTAGATTATCACTATCATTATTAACAAAACATTTTTAATGCAAAGTGTATTTTTGGCTACAATTTAATTCAGATTAAAAATGGAAAATACATATTTGGGCATCCCATTTCAAATTATTTGTAAAGTCATTTGTAACTTTACGCACAGCTTTACGAAACACCCCCAGTACAGATAACATACCTCCCATGTAGATTCTTTATGAGCTCCGCTGTCCTCATCTAGAAGATTGCCCTCATAGGGTCCGATCATCATCCCCTTCTCTACCGGTCCACTGGCAACCACACCCCTGATGTTCTCATCATCATCCGGAGCAAACTTAAAGCTCAGGAAATCGGGTAAATCCGCTCCTGGCCTCTCCTCCTCCTTCGACGACTTCTCTTTGGCTTTACGTCCTCTCAAGTTCAAGATACCTGGTAGCACAAAAATGTTCTTCTGTAAAGCGGACGAGGGTGTCAGGACGTTTGACGTTCTTGATTGCGCGGCTGTGATAGGTTGAATGATGACGGGATGGGAAAGGACGGTCTGACGGATCGTGGAGATGGTGGATGGGGAGGTAGAGGTATGAGTCGTGACTGGGTTTGATTGAAGATGGATGTTTGTAGGAGTGAGAGAGTCAGGAAGGGAAGAGGTAGTGAGATGCGATGAGGAAGCGGTGGACGGTTCCTTGCTGATGATGTCAGGATCTAGAGGGGTAATTCCAGGGGTGTGGTCACCGGTGGTAATTACTGGTGGAGGGGGGAAGATAACAGCCTGACTGGTGGTAGGAGTGGTAGAAGATGATGGTGGGAAGCTTGATGATTGAGTGGTAGGCTGTAGGATAGTAACATGTTGAAGACCACGAGAGTAATTGAGAGGCTGCTCGCCAGATGGTTGAAGAGTTGTGTTGGAATTTGGAAGTCCTGATCCTGTACCTTGAAAAGGAAAGGTGTTTAAGATATGATTAAGAACTGGTAGTTTTTCATCAATTGATTTTGCACTTATATAAGAGATAAACATTGATTTTAAGTAAAAATGCTTATAATAATAAGAACTGGTAGTTTTTCATCAATTTATTCTGCACTTATATAAAAATAAACATTAATTTTAAGTAAAAATGCTTATAATATAAGCAACAAATATCAATAACCCTAATCCACCCATCCCCCCCCCTCCCCCATCACTCTTCATGTGATTGTGAGAGTAGAGTTGGTCTCAGTGAACTCTTCCTAAGGGTCCAAAAATGCTTTTATTTTTGTTCACAGGAACTCATTTTAAAACAGTCCATTCAAAAATGAATCATTAATACAGAAGTCTTGTGTTATTTTGTTTTGTTTCACCAGAGCTCTATTTCAGTTTGACAAAACCTCCAATGTTGTCCAATAACATGTCTATTTAAATGCTTACCAGTATAAATGGAACGAAGCATAACCTGACCATTTCCAAAGTCCTCTCTGTTTCTGAGCGGCTCTACCTGATCAACCACATACGGAGGTTGTTGCGGTGAGATGTGGTAGGGGAGCTGGTAGTGTTGTAAGTGTTGTGCATGTTGCTGCTGTAGCTGAGGATGAGTATGGTGGTGGTGACGCAGCTGCTCCTGGTCTCTCTCGCTAGATGGATAGAAACCCTGGCGGTAACTCGGATCCATGGTACAGCACCCTCTATGACATCACATGTATAGGATCTTCAAAGACATGGAAGAAAAAGAGTAGACAAAAATATATATATTCAATTTTAGAATAATAATAATAATAGCCTAATAGTCCACTCCAAATTTTATTAAACCGAAACAGAAATTCTTTTTTGCCCAATTGATCGTGAGCCCGGCAGCCACTGAGCAGCGCCAGATCGACGTTGCTCTATCCCTTATTGTTGAACGCCAAACAAGGTAGCAACAACTCCCATCTTTTAACGTCTTTTGGTATGACGCGGCCGGGGTTCGAACCCACGACCTCCCGGTTGTGAGGCGGACGCTCTACTGACTGAGCCAACACTCCGGTGAAAAATAAATACTCCACTCTTCTCTACCTATGCAGACCTTTAGGCAGGTAAAAAAGCATTTTCTATAGTTTTTGGCCCCTCCTCCCAATCATACAAAGAACTTTAGCTTACATTTAGCCCATGCGCAGATCGCTCATCCGATCTCGGCCTCATTTTCATAAATTAGCGCCTAGCCTAGCCGACATGGGCCCTTCAGAGTGGCTATCGCTGTTCTCTATTCATTTAATGCTATAAGATATTTGTGCGAGGAGCAAGCTAGCGATTTTTTTTTTTTTTTTCGATACCAAAGTTATGATATTTCGTCAAACCCTCTGTTATTATGTCATGATTTTTTCAATTAAGTAAATGTATTTCACTTTAGTTTAAGTTTCACTTAACTATTTTTTAAGTTTGTAGAATTCTCATTTTCGTCATATTTAAGGTACAAACTGGAAATTTATTCTGAAATGTTCCTTAATTTTTCTATTTCATGTGTTTGCAATGCCGTGCGTGCGTCAGGTAGGTGTGAAGTGTGCACCTGTTTAAAGCAGGACGTGTCAAAATCTCAGGGGTGACGTAATATTACGTATTGACTGTGCCATTGAACTTAAGTTGTGCTAAGTTGCGCTTAAATAGAGTAGTTCCTCTTGCACTTAAATTTGAAGCAACTCGAGCGGATCGGCCAATGAGAGCGAGTAAAGTCGATGTAGGCCTACAGCGCTCAACGCGCAAAGTTTGGCGCTTGTTCAGAAACATATCCAAAATTTGACCCTTAACTCCAGCGTTGAGATGCCCCACTAAAACATACCCAAAATGAAGTAAATATTCGTTAAATATCCAAATAAAGATCATGAGTTAAAAGTCGTTATGTTTATTACCTGTTTTGTGTCAATTTTCTTGTTATTTTTCTAGTAATTTTCGGATAAACGTTGATATTAGTATACACTTTTTCACAGGTTTCACGGCAAACTGCTGCACAATACTAGTGCATATCGATGGTGGGTTGTGGGCGGGCACGCGCCTGTGTGAAGTTATCTACCGTGATGACTAAATGAGGATCTGAGACATTACAGTAGATATCTTCGTGCGTCGATTGATTGATTGATTTTTATTTGACAAGCTTCTAGATCTACCATACAACGATATACAATAACAGATCAGAACAGGATAACCCACGAAAGTTCGAGAGCTTATTTCCAGTGGGGTCCCTTGCAGACAAGTATAAAATTAATAAGTTAAAATAGTAATAATCATTTACAGACAGATAAGGAAAATAAAAGAATTACTTATTAGATCTCGGCCTAAAGCATTAAACTGATGATAAAAAATGATAATAGACTCTAGATCTAGATAGATCTAAGTGTAAGTACTACTTAAGTAGGCCTATAAAGTTTTACTAGGGTCTAGATCTACTTCTTCTTCTTCTTCTTCTCCTCTTTTTCCTTCCTTTTTTAGTTTTACTCCTTGTTCACGTTTTCTTTTTTTTCTAGAGTCTAGACCTACTCTTCCTTCTTTCTTTCTTCTTCAATTTTGTTGTGTGAAATGATCATCTTATTAGTCTACAGATCCAGATCTAGACTAGACCCTAATTGATTAGATCCTCTAGACCTAGGTCTACGATCTGCTTTGATTCCGCGTCTTCAGGCACGACTGAGGGAATCAAAACTGATGGCATTTTGAAAATGAATGAATGTGGCCTAACGACAAACCTACGAAACATTCGCTATTTAACATAATCACTCATAGAGATATCACATCTGGAATAACAAACTCGGCCTCGGACAATCTTTGCGAACTGCTACACACAAATATCTCAGTAGACGGGACCACAGTTTATCAGGATGAAGGCAAAATATGCGGAAATAATTGACCAAACTAATATATTCAAATAAAAAAACAATGAAAATGTTGAAATAAAATCAATTCTCATTGAAACTTGCAATTCATTATAGGTTATCCGTCTAGAAATACTACTGGAAACTCACATTACTGGATTGTTTTTCTAAATCGGTCTGATACCTGAAGGCAGCTACTTAATAACTCCTTGAGTAATTGCTAACCAAAGTGGGTTGCCGATTTGACGAAGTCCATATCCTAAACCTTTATAATTATTATGCCTGTCAATAGGATGTCCAAATTAACTTTTTCTTGGATAATACTTCTGGACTTTCCAGCTATAATCTCAACAATGATCGCGGTCTGTAAACAAATAAGATAAAAAAAGAAGATACCCTTAATTAAGATCAAACTATAACATAATCCTCGATGAACCACTTTAATCCTCGGCTCTCTCCTCCCGGTATAATTGATTGGGGATCTGCAAGTGAACCACTAATGGTTTATGACGGAAATTAAAGGATATCATACTGCATGATGGGTGGTTGAAAGAGAAAGGGAGAGAGAGAGAGTGAAATTAAAATGACATACACATTAATGGTAAATTTGGTCTATGTACCTTTATTAATATTTCATTTGGATATTTTACTATGTATAATATTTCTATCTGATTTCGGAAAAAGAAAAAAACAACAACAAAAAGAGTGAGAGAAAGAGAGTTGGAGAGAGAGAGAGAAAGAGATAATGATAATGATGATATTGATGAAAATGATAATAATAACTGAGCCTACAATAATGTTAATAATAATGATAATGACACACAAATTAATGGTGATAATATATTAGGGACAATGTTTGTATTTCGACAGAAAATTATCACCATATCTTTAACATGACCCTACACATAATAAATTGTAACATAATATTTTTTACCTAATTATAATCGAAGCACATTCTATCTAATATCAATGGACTTTTAGTATAGAGAACAACGATTCAAAATACATGTGCAAAAATTACGAAGTAAACCTACAAGAAGAAAGCAAAAGAAGTTGTTAAAATATGGTCTTTTTGGGGTAGTTTATATTTTTAAAATCGGGCGCGGCACTCCGGAATCCACTCTCACCAAAAAAAAAAAAATCCCGACTCCCCCTCCCCTGGAAACGATGATAAAGTGACGCTCCTAGCTGTTCATGCGCAACGTGATAATTGGATGAAAACCACCGCCCTCTGTTATACATTTGCAGTTGCAATACTCGCAACGGCAGGCACACAATAATTGAATCACAAATGAATTAAAAAATCAATCGTGGTAAAAAGTTAACTCAAGCTTGAAATCAATCTAAAAAAAAGAAATACCTTGAATACGTTGAATTCATTAACCCCATTTGATCTTATTGGGGGGGGGGCAATTTGCTCTCTGAAAAATCATGATTATGAACTCACAACAATGATTAGATGATGCCCTGGACATTATAACGTACCTGTTCAGGGGTAAATGCAGGATTTTGCAAAAGAGGGGGGGGGGGGGGACGGCACAGTGTCCCTAAAATTTGCTGAAAAGAAAGGGGCATTAAAAGGGTAATCAGGACTTTGAATATCATTTGTAGTCATAAATTCTCTGACAAGCAAAAAACAAAAACATAAACACTACAACAACTACAACAAAACACGTTACCTCAAAAGGGGAGACAAAGGGTTCGGGTAAGATTTGTGATTTGCGTACTAAAGCTATGTCAATTTGGTTTCTAATATATTTAGGTTATGTTTAGGATTAGAGTAAAGTTCCGTGTTTGACTCAAGGTTGGAGTTTGCTTTAAAGCCCCACTGTACTACTTGTAGCTACTTGCGCCCTCTTTATAGCAAACAATGCCTAATCGGTGCCTGTCGGTCCCCCATGATCGTCTTTTTCTTATGTTAATTGAGAGCTGATGTAATGAGATAACCACCTGTAAGTGACCTTGCAGGGAGGTCTAATTCCCCCTGGTCAAACTAGTAAAGATCGGCTTAAATAAGTACTTACTTCTACGTTGTAGAATTCGCTAAATGATTTTTGACCGTGGAGGGCAGTTGTCGCCGGAGCAAGGTTCATATTACCTTTAAATGATGTGGTGACGCTTTGGACACAGTTACGCTCTAGATCACCTGCATATAATAATGATATTATTATACAATACCAATTATCCGACACACTTTCAATCACGCGCTTGACCACGACCGTAGTTTGAGGAGGGTAGGGGGTGGGGGGGGGGGGGGTAGGGGGCGCAGTTTGCCCCTCTCGACAGGTGTCCATTGAAGAACAAGAAATGCAACCTCACTTCGAGCTATAGCAAGCAGGTTGGGAACAAGGGTATCAGTCATACAAAAAAGCAAGCAGTTTAGACCATATTCTAAAACACTCACATTTTCGTCATCAAATAAGTCATTTTGAGCAATATTAATGCCCCCTCCCCTGTACCGCCAATTAACCTGCAGTGCCTCCTTAGTAAAAGTGTATAGATTACAGTCATTTGAAATGTCTTACCCCTTCTGAAGCCAACGTATGGATACGCCGCTGAGCATACATGATTGGTGACGACATTCTGTACCTTATGTACGTATACAGTAGAAAATCAATTTATCAGTTTGATGCAAACACACGAATTCTTGTGTTCGTTACGGTCTCATAACAACTGTTATACCTAAGTGATAGAATCGGAAACCGACGAAATGCTTATATGGTCTCATGTTTCCTCATAAACTTGTGTCATCATCTAGCTGCTGGTGAGTATAGCACGTTTTTTAAAACTAGAATTCGCTGACCACTCAAATATTTCAACAATCTTGAACCATTTACTTTATCATCTTCTAATTATGTTTTTATTCTCGTTACTAGCCGTGACGCATATTTTTCTCAGATAAAGGTACAGACATCTTTTTACGAAATTTAAAATGAATAGACTAATTTCATTTTTGTTAAACGGTGGTGTTTTTCAACTAAATTTTCCATTGCAACTTTAAGCATTGAATGGATGAAATTAAAGCGATTCGATTGGGCATTTTGTGATTTAAGCACAATATTTTGCACACTGCAGGGTAGATTAACATATTCTAAGCCATTTTAGATTCGGCTATTTATGAGCTCGGGTATGGGAATCGTATTTTTCAAGAGACAATTAATTGCGATGATTGATTGTTGATTGTTAATCCTGCAGTAGATTGGTTGTTTGAACCAGTGAATTAAAATCAAACGCACAAAACCTTACTGGGCATCAATCATCGTCGACAAAAACCACAGCTCCCATTTGCACATACTTGACTATGGTTGTGTTAAGCACATGGTGTCGTGCCTACTTATCCGGATTTCCTTATATTTCTATGCTCATTACTCAGCCACTATATATTTTCTATCAGAATTGTTTGGCACATGTCATTTATTTGTAATCTTGAACATTCCGTGTTTCGTTGGATTCTGTGAGAAAGTATTAGCCCGCTGGATCCATTTTCAAAATGCCCCCCCCCCCCCCTCAGAATGCCTTTGCTTGTGTGCTTTGTGTGAAAAGGATAATACTGCGAATTTAAGTAAATGAATTATGTTCAAATCATATTTTAATTTCAAGGCCTCAAAGTTATGCAAATAAGTTTGAAGTGCCCAATGTATGGCAGTGCTTAAAATGCCCAAAGATCGAGAATTGCACACCATAATTATTTGAATACTTCCTACGTGTATGCAAATTCGATTTCCTCGGGATGGTACTGTTGTTTCTGATCGGGTATAGTGTGAGTCCAAAAAAAGTTTACACCTAGAAAATTGCTAATTATTTTGAAAATCATCTATGAACAGTAAATTATTCTACATCTTATGAAACATTGTTTTATCCCAGATCATTTGGTATCATTTTTGTGAGGTATGTGTTCACACTTGGATGAACAGGTGGCATTGTTTGCGAGAGTGCGAAAATCGACTTGCGCCAAATTTGCTTATGTGATGTTTGAATAAAACAATTGGAAATTGGGTATTAATTCGGTCTTTGCAGATCCAAATAACATCCCTAAGGCGAGGCGTCAAAAATAAATATACCAGCCAGCGGCAGCTAACTGCACTTGTGCGTCCTGGCTGCATTTTTTTAATTAGCTCAGCCGGCTACCGCTGGCGGTAGGACCCTCAATTAACTCATGATGTCATCATAATGGTCTCCGAACAAAAGCATGCGCCGGCTGCCGCCTTTCGAATGGAAACCGAGCCTCAGATCCCAGCCTGGCGCAAGCTGGCTGGGCTAATAAGTGAAAAATAATTGCCCCAGCCAGGCTTCGGCCGTAATTGCAGCCTCGATGCGCCAATACGTGAGGCGGCAGCCTGCTGGTATCGATATTTTTGACGCCTCGCCTAACTAAATTAATCATGCCACACGTATCAAATATTGAATATCAAATATCAACAAACATATTTTTGCGCGTGTGTGTGACTTAGCTTCTGCAAAAAGCATATGCAATGCATTTCATTTGATACATTCAATATTCATTCTCTCACTCCGCTAATCCCAACATAATACATGCTGTTGGCATCACTTTGGCGCAAGTCGATATTTGCACTCTCGCAAACAATGCCTCCTGTTCATCCAAGCGTGAACATGTACCACATGAAAATGATACCAAATGATTTGGGATAAAACACTCTTTCATTAGATGTATAATAATTTACTATTCATAGATGATTCTTAAAATAATAAGCAATTTTCTAGGTGTAAACTTTTTTTGACTCACACGGTACATCAGTGAGCACAAAACCATCGAAAATTAGCACGGTTTTCAGTTAGAGAGCTCTATACAAAAATAGTACATGTATTTGGTCAGCATGGTCGAATTTTATCCATTTTATAAAAACAGTATGCTATTGTGTACGAAAGGCAAGATTGTGTTCTTCTTCAAAGTAACGCTTTAATTTGGTGCGTTTTCCTTTCTTATATTTCATAGGGTTCGGAGCATTATGTTGTGTTGAGTTTAATATACACCCTGTCAAATCAGACTAAAAGCTAATAACAATGTCTAAAGATTGTATCGGGTGTGACGGCCTTGAATGGAGTCACATACTGTAATCTTGAAAAAGTATTTGCAAAATAATGTATTTTCAGGGAGAAAGAGAGGGAGTAGAGAGAGAGAGAGAGGGGTAGAGAGGAAGAGAGGGAGAGATAGAGAGAGAAAGAGGGATAGAGAGAGAGAATAGAGATAGGGGAATGAGAAGGAGAGAAACATGAATAGATATGGATGAAATGAATGGCAATTGTGAAACAAAATATATATTGCAAGACTGTTTTGGAGTGCAGCAGATAATTTAACAGTGCATTTATTTATTTGTTCGATTATTTTATGAGTATGTCATCTTTTTCTTTCTTTTTCTGAATCCACATGATCTTGATGAGAATGAAATAGACAGTCACGATGGAAACGGCTGCAACTGGAGAACCCACATCTAGCGTGGACCCAACCACAAATGGAGTCGGTGCATCTAGCACGTCAACGACTTTGGAACCTGAAATGACGAGTGACGTTTGGAAATCGAGGAATGACGCATGGAACAGAACAACTGACGCATTGGACAATACGACTGACGCATGGTACGTGATGAATGACGCATGGAACGGCACAAATGACGCATGGAACGGTACAAGTGGCATTGGTCACATGGAGGACATTACAACGGAAGGGACATTGAATGATAACGACACCCTGACAACGAGGGCGTCCTCTGAAGACTGGGTCTGGTCTCCAGTCTCCTGGCAATGGTGGCAGATCGTGCAGGTTATCCTAGCCGTCCTGGGCATCATTGGAAACTTTCTGGTGATGCTTGTCCTCTTTCGTCGAAAACGTCACAGTTACTCCACCGATACCCTGATTGGCGCCCTGGCCGCCGCCGACTTCACGACGTCGGTCTTCGTCCTACCGCATCCGCACGCGACGACGCTCCCGGATTCGCCGACGGGTCAGTTCTACTGCCGGGTCATCCATTCGTCCGTGATCATGTGGATATCGATCTGCGCGTCCATTTTCACCCTGACGACGATCTCGGTCGAGAGGCTGCTTGCGATACGGTATCCCTTCACATTCCAGCGCATATTTACACCGCGACGCAGCGTCCTCGCCATCGTCGTTCTTTGGCTCGTTGCCGTCGCCATCAACTCGTCTAGTTTATACGTCCACTTCGTCCAAGACGGGAAGTGCGTCACAATATTCCCGACGTTGACGTTCCAAAAGATCAATGGCGTGACGTTGTTTCTTGTGAAATACATTACCCCCGTCATCATTATGCTGACCGCGCATGGGTTGACGATCCACAGCCTTCGCCAGCGCGCAAGCCCGGTGGCCGTCGGCCAGGAGCGACAGAAGCACGCGCTGAAGCTGACGAAGGCACGACATCGCGTCCTCCAAATACTCTTAGTCGTCGTCATCACCTTCATCATCTGCTGGACTCCTGATCAGATCGGCTATCTGATGTTCAACCTCGGCGTCGTTGACGTCAGCCATCTCTATAGCCCGATCTACCGCTGCTTTGTTACCCTTGCCTTCGCAAACTCGTGCCTTAATCCAATCATCTACGCCTCGAGGAATCTCAGATTCAGAAAAGCACTCAGAGACCTCTTCAAAGGCGTCTCCACACCTAGTGGACAGTCAGTCTTTGCAGGCTTTGACGACCATGATGACAGCAAGGAAGTGAATACAGGCGCTATAGATTTATCAACCAATGACCAATCCCAGGTGTAGGCTGCTCAAAATTAATTAGCACGATCGCAAAGACTTCCCCAAAATAAACTCTGGGGGGGGGGGGGGATTCTCTATCTTCAGGGGTAATACTATGTTTTATTTAAAGAGTATTATTATTGAATTTACAAAGTATTGTTTGATTTTAATGTATGTATATTTTGATTATTGTTCCTCTGCATGTATACTATTTTGGATGAACTAGAAAATGTACGAATTTAGTTTTGACTTGTAACTTGTGACTTGTGTTATGACTTCATATATATATATATATATATATATATATACAGTATGTTTGTTTTCTCATGTTTTGTGATTTAAATCACTACTACATCAATGCGATTTTTTCATGATGTTATACGTATACTATCGACATACAGGATTCTGTTTAAGTATATAGATATTTAAAATAGATATGGTTTTACACTATAGATAAAACCGCTTTTATAAGCTTTTAAAAAATAAATCTGTTGATATTGTTGTGATTGTAACCCAGTGCTTACTATTGTTATGCTTATTATTAATGGCAGAATATTAAGTACTAATTTTTTTTCTTCCTCATTTGCCCCTCCTCCCCCCCCCCCCCCGAAATTTGAAAATCGCCCTGACCAATATTTTGCTCAGTGGGGGTAGTGAGCACTCTAATTTTTGTTTCTTTTCATTTTGCCCCCGAAATTTGAAAAAAAAGTGCCGACCAATATTTCGGGGGGGGGGGGGGGTAGAAAGAACTAAAAAAAAAATCATTACAAAAAAAAAAAAAATTGGGGGGAGGCCAGCCCAAGGGGGTGGGGGGGGGGGTTAAACCCCCTAAAACGCCTAGATCCGCCCCTGATGCTACATGATCAACCTTTTCCGATCGATTCCACAACGTTTCTTTCACAATGCAATCGCAAGACCAGAACTGTCATTATTGATTCAATGTCAAAAAATCCTTTCATTGTCAATTTCTACGACTCTAATGGTAACCAGGTCAAAATAATGTTGAAAATTTATCACTAATGTTTTTATTTGCACTTACTGCTTTATATGTATGTACATTTTTCAACCCCATTTATTGTGAAAAATAAAATCACAATTCAATTCTTATAATTATGATTTTCTCTTTGCCAACGAAACCATGTCAACATTCAAGATACGGTTTCGTAACCGTTTCCTTAAATTGTCCACTTTTTTAAATCTAATAACATGCTTGCTTCGAAAGCATCGTTAGCATTACAAAAATCATGTTAATTGTGATGCTTGTATTGAGAAATAAAGAAAAACGAGGAGAACGCGATATAAAATAGACTCGACAAATTGGTGACTTTTTATTCACTGGTGACTTGCAAGGACGGACGATATATCTCTTTTATATGGCAATGTAGAATGTCTGAAAAGTAGTGGTCACACTTTGTGGTTTGCTTTCCCCCGATTTAAGTTCTCTCTTAATGATAGAGAGAGAGAGAGAGAGAGAGAGAGAGAGAGAGAGAGAGAGAGAGAGAGAGAGAGAGAGAGAGAGAGAGAGAGAGACATATAGAGAGGCATGGGTGGGGGAGATCGGTGGCACAGATGTAGGGGAGGGGTAGCATGCACGGGTGGAGAGAGAGAGAGAGAGAGAGAGAGAGCTGACATAAAAAGGAGATATATATAGAGAGAGAAAGGGAGGGAGGGAGAGAGAGAGAGAGAGAGAGAGAGAGAGAGAGAGAGAGAGAGAGAGAGAGAGAGAGAGAGAGAGAGAGAGAGAGAGAATTTGGGATTGCAGAATTAATCGCCATCCGCTTCCCCATATGCAATGACGTACTAAGGTGTCGTAACTGCCTTTTGAGTGCATTGGGATAGTACGCCTATTGAAGACATTTTAACAACTGCCTTTCAAATAAACAAGACGTTGGCAAGAATCACTTGTCTTTCTGATCTTCAACTTGATTGTCGGCCTTTCTTTCGGAAAATATCGAAAATATTGGAACCGTCCCTGGTAAAAAAAGATAAAATCTTAAAGGGGCAGAGGGGCAACATGAAAAGGGATACCTACTACGGGACATGTTTTTAACTCTCTATATTTTATTCCCCCCCCCCCCCCCCCCTCCCCCGCCGTGCACTCCTTCTTCAGTTGGGGCAATCGTTTCATCCCATTTGCCTATAGTGTACTTAGCATACATTTGATTTGATTTTATTTTATTTTATTTACCAACAGCAATACATTCCATACATTTTATACAATAATTTACATATACAGAAAGATTGGTTGGTAAAAGGGGCCAGATAATAGCTCATGTGCTAGTCGAGCCTAACACCTTAAACAGCTAAACAAAGTATTTTGTTAAAAATCAGTTTAGAGAACGTAACAAAACAAAAAATAATGAATTTACTGTTACAATCGATACTTAGACAAAACAAGAATCAGTACTCAACAATGTCTTACAATATACAAACTAATAATGTAAAATATGAATTATGAATTGTGTACACTTGATATTTCATTCATGACTTATTCAACCATTGACTTGTAACAGAATTCCGAAACCGATTTCTAGACCTTGTCAGTCTGACATCAACAGGTAATCTATTCCAAAATTCACTGCCCACAAAAGACAATGAAAATTGACCTTGTGTCGTTCTTAATTTTGGAAGACGTAATTGTCCATCTTCTTTTTGTCTTGTGGACATATAACGTTTCAAGACTTCAAACTTCTTTTCCATTCTACTGTCTTCATATATTATAAGGTCCTAAATTGGTCTAATCTTCTTTTTCTTCTGCTGAGCTTTTAATATCCCTCACCTGTTCTCTCTCTCTCTCTCTCTCTCTCTCTCTCTCTCTCTTCACCACACCACCTCTCTCTCTCCTTGTCCTACCACCTACCTTAATCCTAATTCTCTCTCCCATCATCCTACAGTGCGAAAAATTACATCTTTTAAAGGGAGAGAGAGAGAGAGAGAGAAAGAAAAAAAATCCTGGTGCACCAACACAATTATATCAACTATACATATTAGCGAGGGGTGGGGGGGGGGGGGGGGGTGATGACAAAATTGATTTTAGTCTCTTTAAAGGAGAAAAGGCATTACATCATGCGAACAAATCTTCATTTATATATCTCTGGTACACGTCCGTAAGATTTATTGGAAATCAAAAGGCAGGAATTCACCTCGTTTTTCAGAATACCTACACTTATTCTTTGGGTCTAGTTCTCCTTCAAATTAGGGGCGCATGTTATGGAGAAAGGAAAAGGAGGCACTTATCAAAACTTCAGAAGGGAAAAGGATGCTTACTAGAAAAGAAAAGGGGCACGTATCAAAGTAAAAAAGGTCAATTATCAGAGGTGAAAATGGGGCACCCTTCGCAGTTGAAAAGGGCACTCGCCAGTGAGAAAAAAGCATTTATGAGAATGGAAAAGGGGCATATGTCAAAGTTACAAGGGCAATTATCAGAAGTGAAAAGGGTACTTATTAGAAAGGAACAGAGGCAACAATAATTTTGTTTAAGGAAAAGGGGCACATAGTTGAGTTTAATAGGGATAATTATCAGGTATGAAAAGGGGCATTTATCAGAGATGAAAAGGGACAGATTAGATGGGGAAATGGCACTTCTTAAAAGGAAAAAGAGCACTTGTCAAGGTTTAATGGGGCACTTCTTCTATGTAAAAAGGGGCACTCTGGGGGTACTTGAAAAACTATTGTGGGCACTGAACCTCCTGCCCCACCTCCTCCATGGGAGAGCTGCCTCCGACTTTTTAAAGCCGCATAATACAAAATATGCTCCTTACACTCCTCTTATCATTATGTGTCACATAACTATTGGAGAGTATTCTCCAACTTCACAAAATAACCAATTACAACATAGAATTGATGCATTGAGCATTTATTATCTACTCTGCATTTTGCTGCAATATTCTGACAGTATTACAAAGTGTAGAAAAATACAATATACACAAAATATCGATAAACCTGACATTATTTCAGTTTTAAATTATATTCACTTAAATCGTTAAAATTATATATATATCTTTATACATGTACATGTACATTAAGCAAACAAAATAATCATGGTCATAACTTATATTCTTTTACTTTCATATTCATACTTATTAATATTTCATATCTTGTTGTCTTCACAACTGAGAGATGATTTTTCCTGTATTAGTTTTCTGACACACATTGGTTTTGTAACTTTCTTAAACCTTTTCTTAATATTTGTTTTTTAACTTTCTGTTTTTTTATAAATCTGATATCATATTTGTCATCGTACCCTTCTTTATCATGTGAAATTCTGCTGTAACATGATCTTTGGTATTCTTAAACCAATGGAAAATTGATTCTGTAACCCTGACAGATAAATCAATAAATTAACATTCAAATTCAAATTCAGTTGTATATTTTACTTTGCGATGCATGATGCACATTATCTTAACATGTTAAACGCTAGATGCACTATGATACAAATTTATCTTATATATTTTTTGGTTCCGCTGCATTAAGACCTCATTGTCTTTGATCAGCGTTGTACAACTTTCACACCAGAACCCACAGGACTTAACACTTTTATTATTCTATGAATGTTCTAAAAATGTATAAATATGGGACAAAAATAAGCAATAACCTTGGAAATAACACAGAAAGATGTGTCTAAGACAAAATAATAGTTCTCTTTAAGAGTGTTAAGTAAAATAAAACAGCCATTTGATCATTTTCCTAAAAGCAAGATGTGAATCACCCTGTTCAGGTAGGTCATTGCATCCATAATAAACTACACAAAATAAGCCTTATGGGACTACAGTTAAAAAAGACATATGATTGCATATAAGGTGTAATACATCTCTCATGAAAGGTGGGTAAGAAAAGCACTTAATATAAAAATAATAATAATATTCCGATTTTATATAGCGCTTAATCAACATCAACGATGTCTTTAAGTACTTTACAGATATATTATAACCCCGGTCATCGGATTCAGGCTTTCCCGCACAAAGTGTATGCACATTTCTCCACTCCCTGGGGAGCATTCCAACCAGGTGTCATTTAAGCGCACACTTGCTAATCTAACCACATTAGCTTTCGCATCCTACCGGGTACCCATTTAACACCTGGGTGGAGAGTGGCAAAGGTAGATTAATGTCTTGCCTAGGCCTACACTTAGTGCAAAACAGCAAATGAAATCTTTTGAATATACTTCAAGTATAAAAATAAATCTATGTATATTTTTGTATGGTTATATCACACATGTAGAGTACATTCCAAGAATTATAACAACAATATTTCAAACATGTTTTTTTTTTTTTAGTCCGAGAGACACGTCATAAACTCAAAATCCAAACGTGCTGTGGATGCCTTTCATGTAGAGAAGGCACATTTTATTTACATCTAGTTGCAGAGCTAAATGTTTTAAGTATCTGTATTAAGTTCATCTACAAAATCAATTGTCTCTTTAATTAAACCCTTTCGCAACAACAACATATTTTGTGGTTGGGCTGATTCTATATAGGGCCAGAAGCATGAGAAAAAAAACACACACATTTCTGCACACTGCAGTCCATCATTGTTTTGTGACATGAATTTAAAAAAGGGAAATCGCTTCAAAATCCTTAGATTGGCAACACGTTGAGAGATTCGAAACCATTGTTTTATGGTCAATTTGGCCGTATTTTCAACCTCTGGACAACATTCTTGCCCATGTATCTTGTTTTCAGAGACATTACATTGTTTTTCAGCAATGAAGCAATTCAAGAAAATAAGTATGGTTGCCAATTTGAAGAACAATATGTGATCAATTTAGCACTAGAAATTAATCTTGTCCTGAAAGGGTTATTATTATCTTCTTTGGTTGACTAATCAAACAATCACATTTAACTTTTGTCACATATACAATGGTGATGTACAACATACCTATAATCTAAAACAAGGTGGACGTGCAGGATATCATTTTCTTGCAGATAAAAGAGTTGAGCACTTTCACAAAATGTAGATAAAGTGTTTGAGATTCAGAAGGGCACTAACTCATATACTTTAACAGAGTCAAACTCCCTTCTGTCTCTAAACAGAAAGGCAAGTCCAAGCACTTTTGTTCCGAATGTTACTAAAAATAGCGCTTAATACACTAACGTTGTCTCTGAGCGCTTTACAGATATATTACCCCGGTCATCGGATGCAGGCTTACCCACACACAATGTATTGTATGCACATTGTCCACTCCTTGAGGAGCATTCCAGCCAGGCATCATTTTACAGACGCTCACAATATGCTGAGCAAACTTCATTGACTTTCGCATCCTACTGGGTACCCATTTAACACCTGGGTGGAGAGTGGCAAATGTAGATTAACGTCTTGCCGACGGACGTTAGTGACAGGCTGGGATTTGAACCCTGTACCTTGTGATCTGCAGACGGGTGACTTATCCACTAGACCAAAACACCTTTAATGTCATGTATAGAGTACTTAAGAATTGCCCTGAACAGCATCAGCGCCTATTACAAAGCATGAGAAAACTGTAGTGGAAGCTCTCATATGTTACGATCACACAAACACAATATAGTATATATATAATTGTTACTTTACAATGGTCATTTCATATACATGTATTTTTTAAAACAAAAATACGCTGTGTTTCTATAAATTTGTTGCATTCATTTCTGACAGCATTTCAAAACTTGAGTGACCATTAGACAATGGTTAAAGGTGGATAGGTAGGTAGGTAGTTGTGTACATGTATGTATATTGCCAAAACACTGGCCTTACTTATATAAGCGCATGCTTTAATATAGCCCTATAAACACAGCAAAAACAATATCGAACATAGTTTACATTGTGTAAAACCAGCAGCTTGCATAAACAATTTTGATGCCACAAAACTTTACACGTGTACACAAAAATATGAAGTAGTTTGATGCCTTCGTGAAAATAAAACATACTAAGTAACTAAAAATGACCCACTTACTGAAGATGTACACTATATCAATCAATGGAAAGAGAGAAAGAGAGAAATATAAAGAGGCAAACAGAAATGCAACAAGATAGAGAAAGACAAAGAAACAAACAGAAATAATAATAACAATAGGCATTAATTATATAGTGCCATCTATCTGGACAATTCTATTCAGAAGCACACAAGAAAAATAGAAAGAATAAGAGAGTTTGGTTGAGTGTCATAGTACCAGGTACAGGTATTGTTAAAAAAGATAAGAAAAATAAGAAAGACAAACAGACAAAGGAAAGACAAGGAACAAACTAGAAACTCTTTGGGGCCAAGCAGTGCTACTTTGGCGCTTTTTTATATTAAAAGTATAGGGTTGTGGTTAGCAGTGCAATTTGATTTTGAGATAGGGTACGGGAACGCTGTAGGATTAGTCTTGGATCCAGGGTTGAAGTGTAGGAAATTTTGTGTAGCAATTTTTGCAGGAGTGAACATCATATAACTGGCTTATTTTAACAAAAATCGAAAATCAATATTGTGGGATTATATTAGAGGTCAATCCAACCTAATACGTTCATTAGTATGAGATAGAAATTCAGAGAATTAGAAAGGTGAAAGTTTGAAATAAATCAGATCGGGTATTTGAGAGTTTTAAGTGTTTGAAGCATGAGATCACTAAAACTGTGGAAATCTCAAATTGGCAATTTTGTCAGTGGATTGTGACGTAGTCATTGAAAACTCTGCTATTTGTCGTGTACAAAAATATCTTTAATTTCCATTCATCTCCAAAGTGCCTTCTTCCTGAAAGCACTCCTCCAAATAAATTATGGAGTAGCATATTACCATAGATATTTGATATTTTGCTATAAATGTATTTATATTATAAATTTTGTATAATTGTAATTTATGTAATATGTTTCACCTGGATGGAAAGTTGCTTCTTTTGTTTTGGAAGAAGACAATAAATGATATATTCTATTTTATTCTATTCTAGGGCTCCTAAAAAGAAAGGACCCTCAAATCATAACACTACAGATCCCTAACAAGCTGATTAATCAATTTTGTGAGATGTTTCATTTTTATGCAGCATAAAATAGTACAGGTCTGCGCCAACAATGGGCAGATATCAAGATGAGATTGCGTATATATGTGCCAATTATATTCATCATAGAAATTACATATATTGTGTACAACCTTATGTGAGTGTTATTAAAAGATTAATATGTACAGAAAATATAAATATCCTTTGACTTCCATTCTTGTCTTGTTTCGTCGTCTTCGTCCTACGAGTCATGACTGACCCTTTGTGACCATATTCATGATGACATTCAAACCACCTCTATCCTGGGCATAGCGATGAACTGTGCAGTAATCTCTTTTATTTTGTCAGGCCATTGAAATTTTGGCCCACCACGTTTTTGTTGTCTTGTGTACCTTCTAGCAAAAAAGTTTGATCTTAGAAAAATATCATATTTTGATGGTATTTATTTCATGGATATTACTTTCATAATTACAATTCTCTCTATCTACACTGTAAATGATGCATTGGTCGGTTATTGTGTAAATGTGTACATTATGCATGTAAAGAAAACTTCACATACAGTGTAGGAATGCTATCTCATTTATATACAATAAATATTCATGTACCTAGCTATAAACATTAAGGCCATATTCTACTTCAACTTAAACCAATCAAAATGTTTGCTGCTGACATGTGGTCCCCTACGACTGCATGATCCTCCAATCAAATCGTCCGTTTGGTGCATGCGTTAGCGTTGGTATGATCGGTGCAACCAGGTCCCATATACTGAACTCTGCGTATTCCTCCAGCATGATGATCCCACAGTAAGGAACCTTCTGGACGATACGTGAGAACTCCATGGCCGGCCGTGCGGACAGACCCTGAAGGCATCGGGAGCTGCTGTCTAGCGTGCTTGCATGACCAACCAATAAAATATCTCCTGCAAAGATAACAAAAAATTTGTATAAAGGACTTGTTCTAAGCCTATAATAATAATGATAATACAGTCAAACCTGCTTTAATGGCCACCTGTCTACAAAGACCACCTGTCTACAACAAGCATATTTCTTGTTTCCCTCGAGAATGGTTTCTCATTGAAACATGTACTAAAGGAACTTGTCTACAAAGACCACTTGTCTACAAAGACCACTTTTTGTGTTTCCCTTGGGTGGTCGCTATAGACAGGTTTGACTGTATGTCTTGTTTACCTAGGGTAGCCTCATCAGTATTCATGCTGTTCTCTCTGAGGGCCCTGCAATCATATTATTACCCCGGTCATCGGATTCAGGTTTACCCGCACACAATGTATGCACATTCTCCACTCCCTGGGGAGCATTCCAGCCAGGCGTCATTTTTTTACAAGCGCACACTTGCTAATTTAAGCACATTAGCTTAGCCTTCGTTGTTCCTGCCTACACAATTCATGTCCGTAAAGTTTGAATATTAAAGCCCATCTGTACTAGTTTGGCCAGGATTATGTAATTGAGAATAAAATACATAGTATCAAGGCACATTTCTAGTACATCAACAGGGAATGAAGTTATGTGTGCTCAATCACAGTCTTCAATTCATGTTATGGTATAAGCCACTGCTTTAGCAATAGGTGACCAAAAGAGTCAAAAGTAAAATAGAACAATCAAAACTACTCCATACAAAAAACGAAAGAATTGATATAAAAGAAAGAAAGGTAAAATCAATGAAAACATAAACAATGCTATACAGACAGCTTGCGGTTGCACCATGTGAGCAATGGTGCAAACGCAAGCCTACTGTATATCTACATTACCATGCAAGCCGATACTTATAAGTAGCATATAAACAATGCTGTAAATATGTATTTCCCCTTTAGCTTCCCAGGAAAGGAACTAGAATTAATTTCAAAATAAATTTGTTAGCTCACCATCATCGGAGCATTCCTTGAGGACCTCTCGGACAAAGTTCTCACTTCTCTTATAGTACGCCTGACAATTCTCTTTCTGGTTGAGGTCACTTGGGGTCAACTTCTCCTTGTAACTCAGGTCAATGTTCAGGCCAAAGGTCGCGAGTTCAGCCGGTGAGAGCCACTTCGGTAGACCACCCTTACACCACGCTAACCACTCAAAGAGGGCAGTGTCGACACAGATCTTCACAGCGTCAGGTGCTTCTAATCCTAAGATTGAAGAAAAAATGTGTTCAAGATAAGCTTGAGTTCTGGTCATGATAGAAAATAAATTCTCAAAAAATACAACAAAACCTGCACTGAATTTTTAAGATAATAAATAAGTGACACTTGTCCCAATGATTTTGGTAGAAAATATATAGGGCCTGAGTAAATAATGAGCTTAGAAAGATAAGGAAATCAAGGTAAATAGGCCTGACACCATGTGCTTAACATGGGTCACTATGTGCAAATGAGAGTTGTGGTTTTTATTGAAGATAATTTCAAGGAACTCTTTGTGAGGTTCTTTTTATTTTACTGTTTCAAACAATCAATCTACTGCAGGATAAACAATCCAGAATGAATTATAGTCACGTTCTCTTGACATACAATGCCCATACCAGAGCTCAAGATTAGCTTTGAAGTCATATAGTAATCAGTGTCAATGTGTATTGCATCATAATTTGCTGACACAAGATTGGGCAAACACCAGAATGGTGTGAAATTTCCCATGAAAACCAGCTACTATCAGCCTCTAAAGACGATTTGTAGTGCCTTGATGCTTGGCCTGAGCCTTAAGGTGCCTTAGGGTCTATCCATGACTTGGTCTTGAGGATTAGGACCTTGACTAGAACACTGTTTAAAGAGATGAGTTCAAACCAAGACTATGAAAGAGAGAGAGAGAGAGAGAGAGAGAGAGAGAGAAAATGAGAGAGAGAGAGACAGAGAACAAGATAGAGGGGGAGAGAGAGAGAGAGAGAGAGACAAAGATAGAGACGGACACAGACAGAGAAAAGAGAGAGGGGGAAGGAAGGAGGGAGAGATAAGAGATACATTTACATAGACAGATAAAGAGAGAGAGAGAGAGAGAGAGGGAGAGAGCAAGAGAGAGAGACAAAGAGAGAGACGGACACAGACAGAGAAAAAGAGAGAGGGGGAGGGAAGGAGGGAGAGATAAGAGATACATTTACATAGATAGATAGATAGAAAGATAGATAGAATAGAGAGACAGACAGAAACAGAAAGGGGAAGGAGGAGGGGGAGAGACAGACAGAGAAAAGGAAAGAGAGACATAGAGAACTAACCTTGTAATACAGCATGAGCCGTCTGTGAACATCGAAGGGAGGGTGATGCATAGCAGTAAGAGATCTTAATTCCAGCTGCCTTTAGTGCTTCACCTGTTCAATGAAATCACAATAAACACATTCAAAATCATTTTAACACACAGTAAATATACAGCCAAACCTGCTTTAGTGACCACCTGTTTACAAAGGCCATATTTGTTGTTTCCCTTCAAAATGTTTTCTCATTGAATCATGTACTAAAGGAACCTGTCTACAAAGACCACTTTTGTTGTTTCCCTTGAAAATGTTTTCTCATTGAATCATGTACTAAAGGAACCTGTCTACAAAGGCCACTTTTCGCTATAGACAGGTTTGACTGTATAGAGAAACTGGATATATTGGCTTATGTGAAGCCAGAACTAAGTGAAAAGGGTACATAGATGATAGCGAGATATCCGACTGACCAGTTGGTGATAAACGTTTGGCAAGTTGGCCCAGCAGAGGTGACTTAGCTCAGGGCCGTGTTGTATAAAACTTACCATTGATGGTAACTTTGCAACTACCATGGAAACCTTGATTTTGATTGACTGTTGAGCCCTGTTACCATGGTAGTTGCTATTGATGGCAAAGTTACTGTCAATGGTAAGTTTTATGCAACACGGCCCTGTTGGTAGAGCACCAGCCTATCATGGGTTTGAATCCTGACAAGTTGGACGACTGAAGCCTGCCTTGTGTTTTACAGTGCCTCTCCCGTTTCATGGACACAGTACACTCTGTCCTGAGGATAGGATGTTAAATGGAGGCCCAACGTGCAGCAGAGTCACCTACTAAGCATGATGAGAACCCACTGCCCTATTTGAATAAGAAAAGGGGGAAACCCCCAATGGTCCACGACTGTGTGTGTATGTATTGGGTTTTTACAGACATCTATCAATCAGATATGATTAATTAGGTCTGGGGACAGACCTTTAAACGTCACCATCCGAAAGACGTGACTCAGTTTGATGCCTGCGTCCTAGGCTGAATCAATTTGTAACTTCCACTGTAAGCTGGATTACAGGCTCATGCCACAACGCCTAGTTAATCAACGCCTGTACATCCCAATCAATTATACTGGAAGGAGAGACCCGAGGGTTACAGTGATTCAGTTTGCTTTTCCGCCATACTAGACACAGATGATGCCATATATACAGTCAAATGACAGTAATTCATAAAGGGGGAATCTCACTGAGCGGCGAATGATTGCAAACATAGCGAATTGGATTTTCACCAGGGTTCTTTAAAGGTTGCAAAAAGGTTTGTAAAAGGTTGCAAGAAAGTTCAGGAACAGTTTTCTTTGCGAATATATTTTTCTGTAAACAGTTGGAAGCCTTTGCCAAACAGTTGTAAGCCTTTGCAAGCGGTTGTAAGACAGCTGACATTCTTTCTAATTCGCCAATGCTAGCGACCACGTTATCATATGGTTCCTATATAAAATCATCCCATTGAGTACCGGGAGTTAGCAAAAAGTCCCAAACATTCACAAATAGTGGCAAAGAATTGGCAAATAATTGCTAATCTTCGAAAAAACTGTCGCTAACATTTGCTTAGAGTCGCTAATTATCGCCAACTGCCTTTTCAAACAATGTTGCTCAAATGATGCTAATTGTCGCTAAACATGGCAGAGGCGAACACTGATTTGTCAGGAAAGTCGGCGAATCCAAATTCGCAATGTTCATAAGCATTTGCCGCTCAGTGAGATACCCCCATAAAATAGCATTATTCTTACTGATATCAAACAAGTGCACATGTGACTTTACCCATCTTTTTTGGTTGGTGCACTCCCATTTCTCTACGTACCGATCCCTCCCTCACACCCTCATACCCCTATTTATATAATGGCACAATCCTCCCTGAACCATTTCAATGTGTACATGTTACTTTACCTGTCATTCTTGCCTGGTACACTCCTATTTCTGTAATAGGGGAATCTTTCTTGAAATCTTGACCCCCTCCAGGCCTCTGAGGCACTCTCTTTGGCATGTTCAGGTTTTTCCTTTGATATTTGCCTGGAAAGAAATATTGAAAATCAATTGCATTCAAATTCACTATCTAATAAATTCAATGAATTAAACCCATATATGATGGCATAGCAATTAAAAGATGGAAAAAAAATTAATATACAAATTATAGCATGGTGCAAATTTCTTTTTTTTTTATACTTGATATTAAAAAAATAACTACAATACTTCCAAAGCAGCTTGGATATGTGGGTATCTTGTTATTTTTTGACGATTTGAAACCAAATCAATATATCTGCCTGTTTGGTGCTCCAATTTGTATCATAAACTTTAAAGCTGCTGTGCATAAAAACATAGTGTAATACAGATGGCAAAAATGATAGATCAAATTAGGTGAATTTCATAACGAATGATGAAAATCCCTTGAACTGACAAAGTTAGTACCCCAATGAGGAAATTCTTAGAAGAGCTGGAGTGCAAAGGAAAATGATAAGTGAGATGTTGATTAGGCAGTTGAAATTCATGGGTCACATTACACGTAAAGAAGGCCTAGAGAATCTTGCTTTGACACAGAAAATTGTGGGAAGGAGCACTAGGGGAAGAAGGAGGATACTTTGGTTGGACAGTCTGCAGAAATTGTTGGAAGAGAGAGGAGTGAAAGAACTGGAAGTGGTGCTAATACAGAAGGCTAGGAGCCAAGGGTTGTGGAACAGCATGATCACCAAAGTCAATCGATATAGCACTTAGAGAGAGAGAGAGAGAGAGAGAGAGAGATACATACCTTGCTGATCGAAGCAATGTATGAGCCACTGTTCACCGAACGTAACATCCACCCTCTCCCCATGCCTGATGATGAACAATCTTCTGGGTTGCTTCTTGGTCGTAACAGGTGCATCGTTCATCTTCTTCAGCTTCAAAAGCTGTGTCAAAAACATCAGGAAAATGATTCCATTAACAGTCAAAGAGTATGGAAAAAATAACATTTCATGTCACCCTAATATAATAAATACCATTCCATTCTAGTATAGCGCATATCACATTAAAACAGCCCTATGCGCTTCCAAAGAGCTTTGGAAATTTTTACTCTAGCTTTAGCTCCGGCAGCCATTGTCAACGCACAGTGCATTTCAAGGAATAATCTTACCAGGTACCCATTTATTTCACCTGGGTCGCATGTGGCAAATGTAGAATTAATGTCTTGCTAAAGGACATTAGTGCTGGGCGGGATTTGAACCGCGGGCCTTGTGATCCACAGTCCGGTGACATATCCACTTGACCATGACACGGTATCCAAGTCGTACTTGTGTGCCCTAGTCTGTGTAAGATGTACATGTGGATTGACTAGTCTACTCGTACAGTAAGTTGCTTTAATGTTTATTCGAACTCAAATTCATTTATTTCACATCTCTTGAAAATACAATGTATGTAGAAATAATTTTTCTAAGAAGAACAGATAACATAATATAGACAAATGATACAAATGATAAAAGATGTGTCCACTGTGATGGAGTGGATGTGAGGTAGTAGCAAAGGCCATTGACCTGTCAAGGCTACTCCCTGTATTAACATCACAAATCAAAAGTTACAATATTATAAGAAACACAAAAATAAGTGAATTGACATTTTGCAATATCTCTCTATGGAAGTAATATTTGAAGCTCTTGTTCTGATTTCAGTATATGGCACCCTTATCATACAGAGCAAAATATATTCTCATGTTTGGTACACCTTCTCTCAATATCACTAGTTTCTCTGTAACAAAGGTTGTAAAACCTTCCTTGAATGGACCATGACATTCTAACATGTTAGAATTTTATTATTTAATGATCATTCGTTCAGTTATGTTAGTAATATTTTATTAGTTTGGTAAGTTAAGTAATGTTAATTCCATTAGTAATATTGATTTTTCTTGAAGTAATCTTGATTTGTGTACAGCGCTATGAAACTTTTATGTCACAAGCGCTATATAAATTTTTCGTATTATTATCATTATTATTAACACTCACATTCTCATAGCCATGTTCCTGTGGATTTTGAAGGAGGCCCTCTGCTGACTTGTAATTGCCAGAGTGTTCCAGGTCGGATCCGATGGGGATGGGAGGACTAGGAACTTTACGATCCAGACTAACTTTCTTGGCGTCGTTGCTAGCTGTTCTTGGTCTGGTAATCGGTAAAACCCTGAGGAAAACAATCAAATCACATCATATCATAATGTTAACTCAATAATAATAATAATATTCCGTGTTTATATAGCGCTCAATACATCGATCCAGCGATGTGCCTAAGCGCTTTACCCCGGTCATCAGATTCAAGCTTACCCGCACACAATGTACACACATTTTTCATTCCCTGGGGAGCATTCAAGCCAGTCGCCATTTTACAAGCGCACACATGCTCGTCCAATCACATGAACTTTCGCAACCTACCGGGTACCCATTTAACACCTGGGAGGAGAGTAGCAAGTGCAGGTAAATATCTTGCCAAAGGATATTAGTGCCGTGTCGGGATTCGAACCCTCGACCTTCGCATCTCCAGTCAAGCGCCTTAAACCACTCGACCACAAGACTCATTGCCTATGGGAACCTGGTTGCTCTTGTATTAAAGCCCATCTGTACTAGTTTGGCAAGGGGGGACTAGACCTCCCTGCAAGGTCACAGACAGGTGGTTATCTCATCAAATCAGCTCTTAATTAACATAAGAAAAAAGGGATCATGGGGGACCAACAGGCACCGCCTAGTCATTGTTTGCTATATAGAGGGTGCCAGTAGCTACTGGCAGTGCAGTGGGGCTTTAAGCCTATGGAAATGAGACAATTTAGAAGTCAACAGGTAAACAGTCAATATAGCCTTGTGAGGCATGGACAGTGAAAGTAGAAGTGCCAAGTCAACTCATGTTCACCCCTAAAAGACAGAGGGAGCAATTATAGATCTAAAGATTCAAGAGCTTCAAAAAAAAACCAAATTATTTTTTAGACTTTTAATAAGTTCATTCAATCATTATGTTGAATTAAAATCACTTTTCCTTCCTGTTTTGAGGGAATGAATTGTTAAAATGTATATAAATTACAAAGATGTAGTGTACCTGTACACTCTCTCCTAAATCTTCTATTTCTTTTATTGCCAATTTAAGGAATTAAGGATCTTATTACCTGTGTATCGTCCATGTATCTGACTCCGGAGCTTTCTCTGTGTAGTTACCTGGAAACATTCCCTCACACCCCGTCTTATGAGACGTTCCCTTGAACCAACCGTCACTGTTCTTATCTAGCTCAGTAGCAGACATGTAGACAAAGTCATCAGGAATCAGCTCCAGCTCGTCTGGTACCCTGGGTGTGTGGCCGTACAGAACCCTTAGAACCTGGAGAGGATGATTCAAGTAAAATTGGCAACATTTTAAGACAGCCCGAAATCGATATTTCACACGTATGCAATTTCTTTAATGGAATGTGCAAAATTCACTTACATACGGTTCAATTTCTAATATACTACTCTCTGGTGAGAGAGTTAAGAGAACCTTTGCAATCCTTGGGTGTGCCTGGAATGAACCCTTAGAACCAAGGTCAAATTGGCAACACTCATTAATAGGAGTTATCAAACATTCACAAAGATTTGAAGGTAAAAGGGTTACTAACCTCTGTAGAAGCAGCCCGAGGGTCTCTGGAATAGAGCTTGAACTCCCAACGAACCACTGACTGTATACCGACCTCCTTGGAGAGGTTCACTAGTGGTTCTTGATGGTCAAAGTTCAAAGGTCAAAGTGTATTGGATGGTCAAGGGTTACTAACCTCTGTAGAAGCAGCCCGAGGGTCTCTGGAATAGAGCCTGAACTCCCAACGAACCACTGACTGTATACCGACCTCCTTGGAGAGGTTCACTAGTGGTTCTTGATGGTCAGGAGTTCAAAGGTCAAAGTGTATTGGATGGTCAAGGGTTACTAACCTCTGTAGAAGCAGCCCGAGGGTCTCTGGAATAGAGCCTGAACTCCCAACGAGCCGCTGACTGGATGCCGACCCCCTTGGATACATTCACAAAGATTTAAAGTTCAAAGGTCAAAGTGTATTGGATGGTCAAGATTTACTTACCTCTGTAGAAGCAGCCCGAGGGTCTCTGGAATAGAGCCTGAATTCCCAACGAGCCGCTGACTGGATGCCGACCTCCTTGGAAAGGTTCACTAGTGGTTCTTGATGGGTTGGGTTGAACTGGTAGGCTAAGGTCAGGTGAAGCTGCTTCTTATGGGGCTCCACTTTCACACCTGAGCAATAGGTCAAAGGTCAGGGAATTATGTGCCACTAGATTTACAAACAATCTACATCGGGTCAATGCATTCTTGAAAGCTTTTCTTATTTCATGCTAAGTTTAGAAGGCAACTACTAATTTACAGAGTGCCGAATTTCATCTTTTTCAATTTGTATAAATCACCAGAATGATAAAACTTAATGCAAAAACCAAAATTGTCTTACTTCATTTTCTGATCAAATTAGTATTTTCTATTTCTTACAAACTTACAGCTTACCTATAGGTAAGTCAGGAACCCCACGACTTTTACAAGCCGATCGTCTGTCTGATTATCAAGATTTTTATGATTGGAAACCAAATTTAAACTATTTGTTTTCCTATTTGGTTTTCATAACACTACAGTCTATTGGGGAAAATGAGTATGGTAAAACCGGTCACTCAAAGATCATTTTGAAGCACAATTTTTTTTGGGCTTCAATATTATAGTATTAATGACTGCTTTGAGAGAAATAGTTGTTTTTATACGCTCAAGGGAAGGTTAGAATAGCCCGATTGTAACCTTCCCGACACTGATAACACGTAGGGCCGTGCATCTCAGATTTAACATTGTTAAACGATGCCTTTAAGCCTTACCTGCTCTACTTGCAGCCTCCACACTGAAATCAGCCATGACCTTCCTGAGATACTCTGCATGCTCATCCTCTAAGAACAGACCAATGAAGTTTGTAGAGGAATAGAAGTCCAGTGTTAAGACCTCTGGAGCTTTGGTCTGCCACCGGTCAATGACCTCTTGGAAGGCATCGGTCAACGCTGTACATTTACTGTCTGGGCACTACAAAAGATAAAGATAATATAACATAGAAATCTTCAGTCAGCTTCTACATACTGAAATATGTAATGACAACACTGGCAGCAACAGACCAATAAAGTTTGTAGAGGAATAGAAGTCCAGCGTTAAGACCTCTGGAGCTTTGGTCTGCCATCGATCTATCACTTCTTGGACGGCTTCGGTCAACGCTGTACATTTACTGTCTGGGCACTGCAAAAAGCAAAGATTATACATGTATGATTGGGGGTTCTGTGTCTGGACATCTAACAAACACAGAGATTCCTCTTGTGACTTCTGATTTAAAGACCATATGTACTAGTTTGGTTAGGAGGGATGAAACCACCAGCAAGGTCACTGACAGGTGGTTATCTCATCAACTCAGCTCTCAATTAACATAAGAAATAGAGGATCATGGGGGACCAATGGTCACCGATTAGGCATGGTTTTCTATATAGAGGGAGCAAGTAGCTACAAGTAGCACAGAGGGCCTTTAACAGAAAATATTCATCACATAACACTAACCATCCTTTATAATATTGTCAAACATAAGTCTTAGAAGATTTATGAAATTATTGCTTGTAACCTTCCTCAAATTGTTGTTTTATATCAACTGTATAGACACAACCTCTGGGTATACACATGTAGAAGTATTTATGGTCTCCCATTAAATTTTGATGTGCTGGTAAGTACAGTCAGTTTTGTTAAGATTGGTAGTCTCCACAGACCACAATATTGTAAAGACAACACTAGCAAAATGAGTCTTTATGGTCAGTTGGGAGTAAGTAAATTACTTTCGTACACAACCCCAAATAACCCAAAATAACCATTTAAAAATCATTTTGGTCAAAAAGGCACCTGAAAAATGTTTCTTGTTTGTCTCTTTCATTTTTAGTGTGTGCTTGTCATGAAAATATAGGCAAAAATTCTGGATACCCCTATCAATGCTAGACAAATAAGAGTAAACATTTTTGAGACAACAAAGCATGCACGCTATGAACACATTTCTTGCTTCAAATTACTTGAAAATGTTTTTAGTATGCAAATAATCCCTAGTGATATGAGGAACTTATGAATACATCCCGGTAATAAAATATGAAATCAGGAAAGACATATTTTCTTTGTCAAATAACAATGTACATGTATGCTATAGGTTGAGGAAATAATTCAGTTTTTATTTAGACAGTTGGTTTCCGAATGCCCACTTCAATCTAATTTAATGACAATGGCACATCTCATGACTATGGAATACAATGGAATATGATCGTCAAGAGAGCTTTTAATATACAATATTACATTTCATATCAAAACACTTTTCAAAAGTCTACAGATGCATGGTAGTTTATGATGGCTATAAAGGGCTTACTGAACTATTGTCAAACCATGGGGGTGTTTCACAAAGATCCTAAGTTGGACTTCTCTCTAAGTTGGACTTAACAATAATGGACAGCTGTTAGCATCTTTGAAAATATTTTGAAAATATTTTGAAAATATTTTGTAAAAGTTATTTTAAAAGGCATCAACTGTTGATTCAAATCATTCATATTTTCTATTATCAAGGAGATTTCATGTTCTCGATGAGGAATTTATAAAAAGTCTAAAATACTTGAATTTTCGCTTTTGAATATATTTTATTTCAAGACTACAAATAGCTCTCTATAATTTTTAAGTCCAACTTAAGAGTTAAGTTCAACTTATGAAACAACCCCCAGAACTGATGAAAAGAAACACCTAGCAATTCCTATATATTTTTAAAATAAATACTTTAGGGTGATTGGTACACTTTAAAGGTCATCTGACTAGTGAACAGGAGGGATTAGACCACCCTGCAAGGTCACTCAGCTCTCAATTAACATAAGAAATAGAGGATCATGGGGGACCAATGGTCACCGATTATGCATTGTTTGTTGTATAGAGGGTGCAAGTAGCTATAAGTAGTGCAGTGGGGCTTTAAAACAAGGTTTATTGAGACTTACTGTGATAAAGGAACAGAGAGTGACATGAGGTAGGAGGCTGTGTGCTCCGTTACGACCGCAGAGGGAGAGGGACTTGTTCCAGAACTCATCCAGCTGTTCTCCTAGGGGACCTACGGCACAGGCGTAGACGATGTATTCTCTTGGTATGGACTCATCCAAGGTCAGGTCATCTAAATGGTTCAGTAACCTAGAGTTAAAGATAAAGACCAGTTATGGTCATGCGATTGAATTGTGAAAGATACGCTGTGGAATCGATCATCTAGCATATACCGGTAGGTATTGGTGTGTACTGCAAGATTATGGAATCATCAAAATGATAAGAAATTTAGCCCAGTCTTGGTAAAGTTACAAGCACTGTACACAGAAAGATGTATATGAGACTACGCGAAACGTGTGCGACACGTGCACGATATCTATCAGGTCCACTAGATATAATAATTTACCAATAAATTAGTAAGCAGTTTCTCTGCAAAATTTGTATCACATATATTAGTCAAAACATATTCTTTCACATGATTAGTAATAAGAGCTTCCATTTCATTTTTTGAGAGGGGGGCATTTCCAAAAGTGATCTTTACCTGAGATAACATTGGCAATTTGATCAATACAATGCTTTCATTTCATTTAATTAATTTAACTACACGTATATCTCTTTAAAAAACATTGAAAATATATTCATAAATGTAGATACAATCATGGGAAAAAGGGAAGTGGGGTATCATAAAAACTAAATGGCTCGTTAACAATGCTTCCCTATAGATACATAATTACTTTACAAACTGTACAAATGATATTACTTTCTTAAGGATAGGACAATAGAAAGGAAGAGAGAAAAGAGAAGAAAGAAATTACATTTGGCACAGGGAGCTTAATCATGTAGCATAAAAAGAGTAACATTATTGCTTACTATGGAAGCAAGCTATCATGTCCAATTCATAATCACAGCAATACCAACCAATCACAAGCAAGCTATCATGTCTGAAGCCCCTTTCACACGGGCCATACACAGACTTCGGTAGTGTTGCGTGCCGAGTATACGCTGCCCTACACTGGCCTAGATAACTGTACGCTGAGGGATGCAAACGGGTATGCGAGATGGACGCCAAAAATTTAACGTGTTTAATTTTTTTTCGCGTACTTTCAGTGTAGACACTAGATGCAGAAAGTACACATTTCCTACGCAAGTCTACTGTACGCCATGCCTACGCAATAGTACCTACCCTACGCCAGTCCGACAAAGCAGTAAAAGTGTATAAAGGCGCCCTAGATCCTACCTGCACACCTACGTACCCTTTACGCCAGGCCTACGTAAACGTACGCAACCCTACGCCTGTCATACGCAGTCGTATGCGTAGGTACGCCAATTGCATACGCCGTAGGTACGCAGTGTCTATGCACAGGGTACGTACCATATGCCATCGTACGCCGGTTTGCCACACTACACAATTCTACGCAGATCCGGTGTGAAAGGGGCTTTATTCATAATCATATCAATACCAACCAATAAGAAATATGCTATCATGTTTAATGCATCAATGTTTATAATACCAACCAATCAGAAGCAAGCTATAATGTTTAATGCATCAATGTTTATAATACCAACCAATCAGAAGCAAGCTATAATGTTTAATGCACCAATGTTTTTAATACTAACCAATCAGAAGCAAGCTATAATGTTTAATGCACCAATGTTTTTAATACTAACCAATCAGAAGCAAGCTATAATGTTTAATGCACCAATGTTTTTAATACTAACCAATCAGAAGCAAGCTATAATGTTTAATGCACCAATGTTTTTAATACCAACCAATCAGAAGCAAGCTATAATGTTTAATGCACCAATGTTTTTAATACTAACCAATCAGAAGCAAGTTGAATGTCTTGATGCCCTGTTGCTGCTGCTGCTTTTTCACTGTTAAAAATAAAAGGAAATAAAAAATGAGAGAAAATAAATTGAACTGAAACCAAAGCAATTTAGTACATTTCCTTTTGACATAATAAGGTTAAGTGTATTTCATTCTCATTAAGTGCATGTATGTCATGGTTTAGATCTGCTGCAGCAGTTTCCTGTGCATATACTGGAGATAGCAAAACATGTACCAGGCCTATGCTACTGTGTGGAGTCAATTGAGACAGACATCAATATAAAAATATTGTGTTTGTAAATACATCCATAGATACAACTACAACATACCCCTATTCTCAAACATGCACATTAATTGTGCTTTATACTATGCACATTGTAAGTAGACAATATTATAATAAGATAATTGCTTTAGAATATATCTGTTGGAATTGTGTTCATGTGTTCAATGTCAACATTTCAAAGCTAAAAAACTGCAAATCAATTACTCTACAGTTATCAGCAACAAAACATAATCCCTCTTACCCTTGAAATACAACAACCTTCCTTTTCACCCCCCCCCCCCCCCCCCATCATACTCAATATCATTCCCCCCTTTTTTTTACCCATCTCGTCTGTACATTACAAATCATGCTCCTCGCCCCCTTTCTATTCAATATTTCATTTCACTGCGCCACATCAACTCTAAAGCAATTAGTCATGGACCAGTCATACTCAATCAAACAGAACTAAACCTGGATTATTAACCATGATGAGTACCAAGATAATTGGCACACAAACTCAGATACAGGAAATGACTATTTAAACAGAAAATATGCACCTTTCAAAATCTTAAATTGGCAAAATTTGGTAAAATTTAAATTGTATTATTTTGTTGTTGATGAAAATTGTGAAGACAATGTGAAGGGTTTTAGTCCAATGGGTATTTCATTATTTTTTGTATTTATTTAATTAATGTTTAATTTTTTTAAATCCATTTTGTTTACTTTTATTTCTAAACAGCTGAAATGTCAGAAATACATATGAAAATTCATTGCCAATTAGAAGAGCAAAAATAGCCTATTGTTTTGAATGTTCTGAATTCATTATCTGACACGCATGCCTGCTCACATGCTAGTTATATGCACAAACATGTATGAAAAATGCAAGCCCACAGAACCTCTATTAGTCAGGAATGGTAATTAAAAAAAATATATAAACAATTCAATAAAAGATTAAAAACAGCCTCATTAATGGAGCAAAAGTTGATTAGTTTTTCACTTTCTTGATGATCTGTAAAGCTTGACTTGTCAGCATGTGAAATGAAGTCATGATTGGCAGGGGGGGCTTAGTACTTACAGGATGTGAGTAAATATGAAAAAATGCCTCTTCTAATGCCGCTCTTACCAACCAACTGCCATCATAATAAATGATCCAATCTAGTCATTCTAAATGAACATGTACGGTGTGTACTCTAGCCCTAAGTCACTAATTGCATCACATACATGTACTCACAACGTAATGTTTCAATTTGAATTGATTTTATCATTTTGAAGATGAAAAAACATTATTTTCCCTCTTTATCTATATTTTGTCATTTTCAAATGGAATTAACCTATCCTAAGGCACTAGTTGTATCACGTACTCACAACTTAATGTTTCAATTTGAATTGAATTTATCTCTTTAAAGATGAAAAAGCATTAGATGCCCTCTTTATCTATATTTTGTCATTTTACATTCAAATGGAATTAACCTTACATCATTCTAAAATACATCAGTTTTCATATATGAGAGTATTATACGTTTCTTCAATTTGCACATGATTTTTTTTTGTTCTTACTTGTACTCTTTTACCACCTTCAATTCATAACAATCTTCTGAATAATATTCTCCTTCTTCTCATCATTTTTCTTTCCCTTCCTTCTTCTACTCAGTCACCTTCAATTCATAACAATCTGCATCTAACACCGGATGCATAAACCTAGTATACTTTTGTATATAGTCAAAACATGGGGCATCTGTAAATTCTGCATGGACTGGAAGTAGGACCTGGGAAATTGGAGCACTTGATTGAATAATAATGGGTAGAAAACCAAAGAGAAACTAGAAGTGAAAAGAACCATCAATTATCTTAATACATGTAAGTATGTTTTCAAACTGAAACTATTACCTGTATGTATTCCATATCCATCATAGTCTGTTGAGAAACTAAAGTGAACAGTTAAAGATAAAGCTTAAAGCTAAAGATCAGTTCTGGTCATGCGATTGCATTGTTAAAGAAACGTTGTGGAATTGATCAGAAAAGGTTGATCATCTAGCATATATGTATTGGTGTATACTGAAGGTTCTGGAATCATCAAAATGATAAGAAATTTGGCACAGTCTTGGTAAAGTTACAAGCACTGTACACAGAAAGATGTATATGGGACTACGTGACACGTGCGCAATATCTATCAGGTCCAAATAGATATAATAATTTTCCAAATATATCAATTAGTAGGCGGTATCTCGTCAAAATTTGTATCATCACGTATTAGTCAAACATATTCTTTCACATGATTGGTAATAAGAGCTTCCATTTCATTTTTTGAGAGGGGGGCGTTTCCAAAACTGGTCTTTACCTTTAACATGCATAAACCTAGTATACTTTGGTATATAGTCAAAACATGGGGTATCTGTATAGGCTGGAAGTAGGACCTGGGAAATTGGAGCACTTGATTGAAAAATATATAATGGGTAGAAAACTAGAGAGACACTGAAAACAACCATCAATTGTCATTATTAAGTATGTTTTTAAACTGAAACTAGTCAGTTGAGAAACTAAAGGGAAGTCTGTGAACAGTTAAAGGTAAAGACCAGTTTTGGAAATGCCACCTTTCAAAAAATGAAATGGAAGCTCTTATTACCAATCATGTGAAAGAATATGTTTTGACTAATACGTGATGATACAACTTTTGCCGGGAAACCGCCTACTAATTGATTTATTTGGTAAATTATTACATCAATGCAGTCCGGATAGATATAATAGTTTATTGTTTAGTCCCATATAAATATTTCTGTGTACAGTGTTTGTGACTTGACCAAGAATAGGCCAAATTTCTTTTAATTTCGATGATTCCAGAACCTTGCAGTACACACCAATACTTATATGCTAGATGATCAACCTTTTCTGATCAATTCCACAACGTTTCTTTCACAATGCAATCGCATGACCAGAACGGTAGTGTTATGAAAACCGTTTGGCAAAGGCAAAATTTGATTTTGATTTTCAGTCATAAATATCTTGATAATCAGACAGAGGATCGGCTTGTAAAAGTCATGGGGTTCCTGACTGATCTAAAGGTTTATAATTACCATTGCAGCATGAGCTAAATCAAGGATTTTGTTAAAGGATCTAAGACAAAGTTACCAGATCCCTTTAAGAAATCATCCTTCATTTATTAGAATGTATGTCAACTTTTTATTATGTAGTAAACTTTGTAGCATCATACATCTGTACATTGCAAGGATTATACAGTAAAAATATGCAGCCTTGTACAAGTAATGTACACAGATTTGAGTGTATTTTTCCACTTCTTAATGTATTCAGTATGCTAAGTACTGTCTGGAAATTACCCAGGCACATTCCGAAACTCATGAAAAGTTTGAATGACAATAAAAACAGAAAGTAGATGGGTATACCTGATTAATGACTGGAAGTTTTGATTATCTGATATAGAGTATGGATAATCTATTATCCAATCCACCCCCTCTATTTCCTTTCCGTCTTCCTTCCTCCTTGAGCTATCTACATACACACAAGCTCGTTTACACTGGTTTTTCATTTTTAGGGGTTTTCCTTTATGTCACGGTTTGTTAACATAATATTTACCATTATTTTGGCTAACTGTGCCTTCCTTAATTCCGTTTTTGCCTTTTCTTCTATCGACATACTATTAAACCAATAACTTTCACAAATGCAAGTCTGTGCTGTGTCAACTGCGATTCAATTAATTTACAGTCACAAAAATGACTGGCAAATGTTTTCACAGTAGATAGTTTATTTAGCATAAATATCACCATGATTTTGGCTCTTTTAGCCCTCTATAACCAGGCTATTATGATTATCATGATGAAAAGTTATGTAAAAAAATATATGATCAAATAACATAGGTTAATGAACTACATGTAACTGCGCAAAAAATAATGATAACCGAGGCAAAGAAGTGGGTCAGAGTTTAAAACAGGATGGACCTAGTAATAGCTACATGTATCTCTCTCTCCCTCTCCCTCTCTCTCTCCCTCTCTCTCTCCCTCTCTCTCTCTGATTCTACCTCTAGATCTTTCATCCAACTGCTTTTGTCTCTTCCATATCTTGGCCCATCTTCTCCCTCTCCCCCATGAACTGCTGTTACTTTCAAATACATCAATCATTTGAAGATCTATGTCAAATTCATAACAAAATAAAATTCAAATAGATTTTAGATCATGGGAACTGGCCTGCTGGACTAAAATAAACGGAGTTATTGCTCTGGTAGTTGTTCTATAGAAAAAATAGATATCAACGTCACATTCATACACGCTACACTGGAAGACAGACAGATTATCCTGGTAGAAAATAGAAATAAAAATAATGATAAATAAACGAGCTTATGGCTCAGGATACTAGGGTAAAGGCTAACTTTCTATTTTGTTTTTGAGGGTGATTATTTGAATTGGTAGCAGAACATTTTGGTTAGAGAGCCTCCACAGTGAGGGCAATCTGCAGGGCTGTGTAGGGAACTGTGATACAAGATATTTTGAATGGAGGATCTTTTTCCCCGTTCAAAAGGACTCTTGCTTCTTTCCAGAAACTCGAGGGTAAACAAACTTCAGCCCCTATTTTATCAATTAAGCATGGAGGCTAGAGATACGGTAGACTTCAAGCTTACTATGTAATTTGTAAACTGGAAGCTTTGAATATATTTTCCCTTATAAGTTCAGAGAATCAGGCTAAAACCTAAAATTATGTGGTTGTTGTTGTTGTTGGTAATAGTTTAATGGCGTTCATTCAGTATTGAATATAATGTATACGCCATATCTTCAGTTTTATAAGAAAATCAGTTATCTATAAAGAAAATTGAGAATAAAAAATGTTAATGATATAATTAATTAGTCAGTACAACTATGTGGTCATTGGTCTACATTGAATGTAAAGTTTACAATATTCTATTGCAACGGTTAGTCAATGAATTGATATAAGTTGATCTAGTTACATTTGTAGGACACCTTTTTGTACAGAGTGATACAGCATCTTTCATCATGTGTAACATAGATTAAATTGTTTAATTTCCTCATTAGTTCAGTATCACAACTAACATAAATTATGATAACAGGTACAATTGATGTAGACTGTAACAGGGGGCGGGGGGGGGGGGGGGGGGGCAATAGGAACAGAATATAAAAGAATAAAAGAATGAATGTTCTATTTTTCTTTTTACAGCATACTGTTGGGAATATTCCTGGTGTGTACAGAGTGATTCACAACCAACTGATACTCACTTCGATAAGAGATGAAGGAGAAAAAGAAGAGAACGAAGAAGAAGAAGAAGAAGAAGAAGAAGAAGAAGAAGAAGAAGAAGAAGAAGGAAGGGGAAGGGGAAGGGGAAGGGGAAGGGGAAGGGGAAGGGAAGAGGAAGAGGAAGAGGAGGAGGAAGAAGAAGAAGAAGAAGAAGAAGAAAGAAGAAGAAGAAGAAGAAGAAGAAGAAGAGGAAGAAGAAGAAGACAAAGACGAAGAGGAAGAGGAAGAGGAGGAGGAGGAGGAGGAGGAATAGAAAGAAGAAGAAGAAGAAGAAGAAGAAGAAGAAGAAGAAGAAGAAGAAGAAAAGAAGAAGAAGAAGAAGAAGAAAAAGAAGAAGAAGAAGAAAAAGGAGGAGGAGGAGGAGGAGAAGAAGAAGAAGAAGAAGAAGAAGAAGAAGAAGAAGAAGAAGAAGAAGAAGAAGAAGAAGAAGAAGAAGAAGAATTAAAATTAGAATTAGAATTAGAAGAAGAAGCAGAGGATTAAGGAGAAGAAAGAAAAAAGGACGAAGGAGGCATTGAATACAAGTGGTAGAGACTAGAGAAGTGTATATAATTCATGCTGAGTGACTTGCTGACCAATTTCTTGCATTTCTTGCAAATTTCTTAAAACCTTAAGTTCTCTTTCCAATCTTCTCAACTCGGTCCTCCACTTATCCAATGATCATCTCACTCTGCAGTCACTCTCATCTTTCTAAGGTATTTCAAGATACAACATGCATCACAGAGTCACCCTCTATTTCGACTAATTATCTAGTACAATGTGGGTATTAAAAATGTATGAAAAAGACTTATCATAAAAAAGCACACCCCATTTATCACAGTTAAAACTTTTGAAACAAATGATGGTTAAAAACTGTATCAAGAAAGCTACAAGTATCTTAAATGTTTTCTTCCATAATAATCAATAGAGAGCTTACTAGAGACAGGTGTGCTACAATATCTTTTTTCTGTTTTTATTTCATTCAATTTCTTTTAAACTTATGTAGATCTATTTCACATCATTTATGCCTGAAATGAATGCGCGTATACATGTTATTGTACCTCTTCAGACAATGAACCGTGTATGGAATAGAGCTAACGTTACATTTTCAGAACAGTAAGTAAGATCTTCGCAAATAAAAAGGCATTGGAAAAGCTATTCATGCCTATAGATGTCGATATGTCTATACTGCTAAACTACATCAATTACAACCCACAACAAGATCATCAAGATAATCGTGCTAGTCGGCCGCGCATGATCGAACAGCACAACGGTACTTCCGGGTTTACGAACCCTGAAGAAACGGGGTCGGAGATAACAGCTGTCCGCCCAACGGAGTAATGCTCCCGTACTTGCTCAATTTCTTCACCCGAACTGAAATACAAGTCAAGAAAAGTGTTACTTACACTCGATGTTTCGGGAAGCCCATGGACATAAGCAGATCCATAGGTGTAATACTCTGCCGAATCATGCTTGTTTTCCGCATGGTTCGTCTATGAACTTCTGACGAAGATCCCACTGACATTTTGTTTCACTTTTGGTCGTCTCGTTCGCACTAGAAATGATTTATTATGACAGTTTCCGACACGTGAGGGCGCTAAATAAAAACAAACAAACTTGCGCATGGTATTTTTCTTCTTGATTGATTGATTATATTTCCGATTTTATGAAGATTTGTACATCAACAGAAAATCGATTATTACTGGACTATTATTCCATCAATATCTGTCATCGAAAATATGTAATAACCAGAAACTATCAAGTGATTTAAAACAAGCATTTTTAAAACGACTCCCATCGACAAGGAAAAAACAATTAATATTTCCATCAAGCTAGGTTACGTTTGATTTTCAAATCATGAACTATTTTTCTTCAAAATAAGTATTTAATTATACGGACGGTGATAGAAAGTGAGATGGGGAAGAATAGATAGCGAGAATGAGAGAGAGAGAGAGAGAGAGAGAGAGAGAGAGAGAGAGAGAGAGAGAGAGAGAGAGAGAGAGAGAGAGAGAGATGGGGATTAAAATGACAGAAACACTGAATGGGTGACAATGATTACGGGAATAAGAGAGGAAGAGAGATAATTGAGTTGAACAAAGAAAGGAGAGAGAAATTTCAATAAGACCACAAAGCGGCTCCATAAATCAAATGTTTAAAGAAAAACAAACAAAAAAACATTTGTCTCCTGCAATTTTATTTCTTGTTATATAATTCATATTAATAGAATTCTTTTTGATAACTTCAATCCAGTCAAAGGCATCCTCATTGAAAACTTTTAAATTTCTACCCAAAAATTTAGTATTATAACTATTTTCCTACTTTATAACGCCTACTTGAAAAAAGTCAACGATGCGGATAAGAAGAAATATCGGCGCTCGCGCCCCCCCCCCCCCCCCCCCCCAACTCCCCACAAACACAAATACACACGCTATACAACACATTAATGAAATTCATTAAGTATAATTATGGGTGTCCAGAAAATCTATTTTTGAAGAAATATCTCCATTTATGACATTCTAACAGCAATTCGATGATTAGAGTCGGACGTTTATTTTTTGTCGGTAAATTTGTCTGGAGGAGGAGGGGGGATGAACAGTTCTCTAGGCACGTTAGTGTGTGTGTACGATGAAGCATCTACTGTTAACATTCAGGTAGATCAACTCATTCAAGATCCGGTAACTTTGTCTTAGATCCTTTTAAAAATCCTTGATTTAGATCATGCTGCAATGATAATTATAAACATAAACCTAAGTAGGAACCCCAGGACTGTTCCAAGCCGATCGCATGTCTGATTATAAAGATATTTATGATTGATAATCGAAATCCAATTATGCGTTTGCCTAACGGTTTTCATAACCCTACAGTCTATTGGGAAAAACGAGTATTTTAAAAACCAGTCACTCAAAGATTTTTTTTTTTGAGGCACTTCTTGATCATTTTGAATCGCATTTTTTTTGTAGGGCTTTAATATTACACCATGTCACAGATACTGGTAACACGCAGGGCCGTGCATCTCAGATTTAACATTGTTAAACGATGCCTTTAACATTCAGGTAGATCAACTCATTAACTAACGATCAAGTCCTGTATGCGTGCCACGGTCGCTCAACCTCTTTTAAATCGGAATGCATCGATGAATATGGAAATGGAGCAACACAGATAATATGCATCGTTTAGTAAACATACGTAATTATGATTATAATATCACGAATAATGAACGAAATTCGCTCTTCTTTCAGTTTTTATTTATGATCGCGTCTTTACACACCGTCACTTACATAACTTATTTCATGTGATATAATTATGTACGAAAGATTGCACATGCTCTTGATTTAAAATGTTGCCTTTAATTGTTTTCCTTTTACCTCTTTCCACGAAATGAATGAGACAATATGATTTATTTTTGAATACACAAAGTTCATATTTTCTCAAAACGTTATTGATCAATGAAAAGTGTCATTGAGATTGATGAATAAAGTTCTGAGAAGAAAATATAAGCATTACCTAAGAAGCATAAATAATATTGTAGCAATCTATAAAAGAGGTAACTAACAAAATTCCCAAATAATTATAATGGACGACATTATACATCGAAAGGAATGGGGCAATTTTCAAACCCCTCCTCATACACGGGATGCCCACATCTTGCTATTGGAATAACTGTATTTAGTGACGTAAATTATACAGGAAACATATTTCTACTTGAATTTAAACTACCGTTTGACACACTTTTCGCGTTATTTTACAAAACGTCATAATTTCTTAAGCACTAGCTGTTAACATAGAAGGCCTAAGAAGTGTACCTGTTTATAAATTGTCAAAAACTCACTGATCCGTATTGTATCCTGACTCCTAAACCTGGGTGATAACATTTTTTCTCACTACATCTCTCTGGCTTCACTTTGAAACAAAAAATAGCATTTTAGTTGTAATTTGCATTTTACCCCGTTATAAACGCATTTTCAGCCTCATCTATAGAAATGACGCGTGGGCCATGATAATGATGATGATGATGATTATGATGATGATATCTTTATCAGATTGTTACCACGGGAAGAGGTTCTATAAAAGGGTGGATTCTTGAATGAGATGTCACCAGTCTTCTGATCACCAGCAACATTCATCTCACTACCATCTCATCCATCCAACAAACACGTGAGTATTTTTTTTTTTTTTTTTTTAATAACCATTTCTGGTCTTCGTATAGACAGATATTCATACTCTCTTGATAATAGTGAGTGAAGCCTTGAAAAACGATTCTGTAGGCTGGTATATAAAATGCTGAGTTTATACGAAGAACGCCTTCGGGGCCGTTACACGCAGATAATCTGTGTTTCATAAATAAGACACCCAATAGCGAGTACATCGACGTGATGCCAATTAGTGTCTAAAAATGGGTTTTGTCAATGTGCGACAGTCTAGTTTATTGATTTGCTTCGTTTTATTTATTTCGATACGGTGTAAAAAGAAAAACGAGCCTTCAGCCGCAATGCTGTTTTTCATCAAGTCCGTAAAATAGTAATAACAGTACTCAAAATAACAGCAATAACAATAACAACAATAATAACAGGCCATTAGCATGATTAGATTGCCGAATCACTAATGCAAGCTTTCACCAGTTGCACCAAAAGACGAAACAAGAAAGAAAAGAAAAAGAAAACAAGATCTTTCTTTACTTTTTTGTCTTCTCTCCAGCCGAATCAAAATGGCGTCCAAGGTACTGATCGCTTTCATGGCTCTCCTCGTCGTTGCTATGGCAATGGAGTTTGCTGAGGAGGGGATGGATTTCGACATGGAGCAGCTTCATCTGTCTGAGAAGAGGGGACAAAGCATGAGGAAATACAAGGGTAAGTCTCTTTAATTCGATGGCATGGTAGTGGGGGGGGGGGGGACTTGGGGTTTCTTTCATTCAAGCTTCCCCTCTCGAACCGCTTCCGATCGATTGACATAAACCGTTGACTCCTGGAAACGGATGGCTCCTGGGTTCCATTTCACAAAACTTGTCATCAGTGACAAATCAATGACAGCTTTTGTTATAAACTAGTGAAATCCTCGCTTCTGATTGGTTATAAGCAGATTTGTCACTGATTTGTGTCATTTGTCATTGGAAAAATGCTTTGTGAAACGGATGGCTCCTGTAGTAAGCCTATGTGAATTAAACGTTTCAGTAGTCCAAGGGTTAATTATAGTCATAATGCGGTCTGATTTACCCAGTGTTGGTATACCAGCATGGGGGCGAATTCAAGCTATTATGTCCTGTAAATTATTACTAACGACATTTAAGATTTTTGTTTATCTGATCCTAATAGCCCTATGAGAAAGCTCAGAGTAGACCAACCAAATATAAAGTGAAAATGCACATGTAATGTCAGTTGATATTCAGCTCTCTGCAATACTTCAATTCAATTCAATTCAATTATTTTCCATTTTTAAACAATGTAACTCAAGTGCAAAATACAGCATTAAAATCACAATATGAAATGACGGGATACCCTTAAAAGAAAATTGCTTGTGGGCAGGGTCACTAAGATTAGTCATAAATGCTTTGATCTTCTGACGAAAGCTTGAAACATTCTTCAAATCAACACACTGAATTACATGGCATTCATTAATTTTGCTATTAAATCTAGACATGGTCTTTAAATTTATCGAAATACCAATATCTAAGTTACAGATATACTAACAAATTATTGTCGATTTTGTTTGTCTTCTCCAGTTTGTGAAACCCAGTTCAGCGCCGACCAGACCTGCTGGTGCTCTCGCCGTAATGGAAAGTTCGCTTTCTGCGCTGGTAAGAAAAAAAAAAGCGGGATTAAACCTCCCCATCCTCTCCCCCTGTCCCATCACTTTACCTCCCCCCTTTTCATTTTGCTCTCTTTATCTTTTATTCATTTATCTTTCCTGATCGAACTCGATCCCTCCCAAATTCTTCTCTATGTCTTTCCTTTTATCAAATATGGTTGTTTGGTGTCAGTTTTTCCTTAATGTCTCACATGAATTTATTTTTGATTAGTAATATCAACGCTTAATTTGAGATAAAAATAGTAAAGCTATTAATTATAAAATTTAATTAGGTAATGTTTATATAGAAGCTGCACGGAGGCATCATCAGCTGCAGTCAATAATGACCCTCAATTAAGATGAAGGGTATCAGTATTAAATGCATTATTTATTTAAAAAAAAAATCAAGTTAAAAAAAGGTTTTAATTTAATATTCCCATAGTTTGAACGAATATTCTTTTTTTTAATTATGTTTGAATAAATGTCAGAAATGAATTAAATGACCAGGCGCGGTTCGTACTTATTCAAATCAGTCACTCAATTCAATTATGCTTATTTCATTATTTTTGTATTTTGTCCCTTTTTAGGCGCCGCTGGTGGTGAGAACATCTAAACCTACCAAACTATGGTTTCCATGGTAACACATACCCTATACCGACCGACCGATACATGAATCGATACGAAAGGCCAGCTATATCGTGACAGCCGTCTAGTACCGTCTGCATTTCGAGTTTTGTTCCGTTTCAATGCCTGTAGTAAAGAATAAATACTTCCAATTTTGAAACAAAAAGTGAAGTCTTGAGATGTGTCATAATACATTTACAGAGTTCTTAAATACTTTTGGGGATCGAGGACTAACAAGATGGAACTGAGTGAGAGTGAGAGAAAGAGAGAGAGAGAGCGAGAGAGAGAGAGAGAGAGAGAGAGAGAGAGAAAGGAAAGTGAGAAATTGTTGAGGATAATGATAATGATGAGGATGATGATGATGATGATGAGAGAAACAAAGAGAGAGAGAAAGAGAGAGAGAAAGAGAGAGAGAGAGAAAGAGAGAACACTCTTGAATAGTGATCAGCTATTCAGTTAGTCATTGGATCATTGACGTCATTGAAGAGATTTATTACAAAAATCAATTCTGTGTGAGCAAAACATATTGCTAATCCAAAGGGAGTAGCAAGGGGGCTCTAAATAGGGCACTACATTTTGTTTACCCCTTTCGTTTTGCCACCGGTAGTAGTTCTAAACACCAACAAACCTGAACATACAACTATTTGCTTGTTAGGGAATCGGTGAAAAGGCAACAACTAAACCAATTTATTAGCGTCATCGTTTTGTTTTTAGGACATTAGCCCCCTCTCCCCCATCTACTGTTCACATGATTCTGAATCTGCCACTGAAAATAAGGTCTGAAAAAAGTAGAAGAAAATCACGTTTCATTTGACAGTTCATTTGTAATGGTCATTGAGAGCTAATTGGGCAAATAAACGGCTACACCAATTGCATTATCCTCATCGAGTTTACGTCAAATTAATTTGATGTTGATTGCGACTTTGAGCTGGCTCGAATCAATTTTTGACAGGGTATTATGACTTCCTATTCTGCAAATGTATCCACCCTGTAGAAAATACAATCATTTGATTCCGTTTAATTGAGAATTGGTTAATGCCTACAATCGCAAGACAGATATTTAAAAAAAAAATACACAATCCTTTGAAAATAAGAGAAGAAAAACGATATCAAAGACAGAATGAATATTGCAAATATATCCACCCTGCATGTACACATACAGTTGTTTGATTACGTTTAATGAATAATTGTGATATTAATGCCTACAATCGTGAACAAATATTTCAAAAAATACCCAATCTTTTGAAAATAAGAGGAGAATAACTATAATAACGACAATGTGACGATGGCACTCTGTTGCTGTAGTTATAGCCGAGTTCTCATTTCTCATCAAGGAAAATTCATCAAGAGCATGATCTACAACAATTAAGTCTTTGGTAAATAGAGGACTCACTTTTAGACAAGCTTGTTATTATTGAGGTGTCAAAATACTCATCACAGCCCAACTCATAACGCATATTGATTTATTACATAAACCGTACCTGGTTGTACGGGGTACTAGTATTGTTTTTAGATTAGGTTTAATTTGATGGGTGACCAATTACCCTCAAGCTTTTGAACTGAAATCAATATTAATATTTCTCGTATATTTGCTCCATTTTGTATTGACTGACACGTCCCACAGTTTGGTGTATCATGTAGGCCTAATAACAAAATCAACTATCACAGTTGACTCTTCTGACAACAACCTATCACCAATTACTCTTGAAAGCGCTTGGTCGTGATTAATTCCAAAATAACATTGTTTACCGTATCTGGGACACTGCAAACCACTCGAATTACTTCAAGAGCTTTGATTTAGGAATATACGTCACATGAAATCTCCCAGCAACTAATTGAAGTTAAATTGTAGAATCTCTTGAGAAGCACAGAGTTTTGCTTGAGGATTCAACCTGGTCCCGATTGGACGATTCGCCAATCATTTAGTCATCAGAGTATGTAATGGTTGGATTTCCTTTAGCGCTATTTTCTGTTTAAGCATTAACTGGGACTGTAAGAAGCAGACAGAGAATGTTCAATCGTGAATGAAAATACAACTTGATCAGAATATTAACCTTTTACTTACTGGAAGCAGGTGTTTAATGTATGAAACGTTTGGAGAATGTGATAACTGAGTAGCCAATGGGTTTATCTGACGATGTTAGATAGAGCTTTACAAGGTCTGCTTGGTTTATAATTATGTGAAGTTTCTTTAACATTGTTGTGGTTTACTTGAGATTGCAAAATATTCTGTTTGGCGGATGACCGAGATTTGTTCTGAAACTATTTGGAGGTATTAGAAGAATCAGAGAATTCTGACTGAAAACGCAATCAGTGTGCCTGCAAACCAACCAGTGACAGTGCAATTGTTTTGAACCTCCGGAATCATTGAGACAACTCTGCCTTGAAACGTATACATTTCCTGCAAATCAAGATAATGTACGAGTGACGGGGAATAATTATTGTCCTGAGATTATTTAAGTAGGCGCATTAGACTCACCAGCCACTGCAGGACAGCAGGAGCTGTTGTAACGGCAGCAAAACACCATTTACACTTTCCTGAGGTGTTCCATTCATGGTCTATACTAACCGACGGAGACCTACCATTGAAGTCATCAGCGGTCAACCCTGACTGAAAAGTCGATAACTGTGCCTCAACAATAATCATGACGTCGATACCGACAATGACATTTTCGCTTGAAGAGAACTTGGAATTGTCCGACCGCGATAAAACTCCATTGTCCATCGGGGTGACGGTGATCTTTCTCTGCTATACCCAGATCGTTCTCGCAATCGTCTCCAACGTCATTGCCCTCTACGCTTTCCGCTGTAAGGACATCAGCCTTGACGACATCACCCAGCTGTTCTTCAAAGCTCTTACCATCATCAACCTCGTCATCGGAGTCGTCTATCCGTTCATGTATTCATTTGTCTATCTCGACTACGCCACGTCGTTCTCTCGACCTGAACAGCTCACTGACGTCATCTGCAGAGGAATCCAGTCCTTCTTTATCGCCCCTCTAGTCCTGGCCCTACTGATCATTGTTTGTGTGAACCTCAACAAGTACTTGATGATCTCCAGGCCCTTGAGATATCATCTCTACGTCACGCCGTTGCGGGCTAAGATCGCTATTGTTGTAGTGGTAATCATTGCGATTGGATATTCCTTGCTTTTTGCTTCGTTTCCTCGATCACCTTATGCGAAATATAGGTAAGAATGCTTGGCTTTGATAAAGCAACTTCTTTCTTTATACGGTCATTCTTCCCCCAGGCCAGCCACACCCTAATCATGTGTACAATTCAATATCGGAGTATATAATCTAAGAGAGAATTTCCAGAATCCAAAGCAGTTCTTTTTTAAAAATTTTGTTTTGAGTGTTTTCATCGGCTCCCTTATTCCAAGAGATAAATTTACCTACCGTGGCCAGATTAAATAAAAAAATAAATCGCAACCCCATTATACAATCTCGAGTATGATTATTTTTCTAAGCTCCATGTTAATCCAGATGTACACACCTTTAATAAAAGAACATAAATTACAACAATGTAGAAATAAGAAGTCCCCCAAATTTAAATTCATCCTGAATTTCAGTTAGGCCTATTAAAGTGGTGTCAAAACATAACTACTTGTAATCTGGAAAGGATTTTGATTTTGTTTTTGTTTCGTTGTATAGGGCAGCTGTTTGTCATAGAGAAGATGTTAACCTTCATCATGCTGGTAGGAGCTGGCTTCTCATTGAAATCTTCATTCTCACACCAATCATCGTTATGACAACAGCTCTTAATATTCGGATGCTACGGATATCACGCAATCTGACCAAACGACAGGTTGTCCCACGCCCTCTACGTTCGTCATCACCAATACCATCGAAACTCCAGTTTCCTTCCATTGATACCACTACTACTAAATCATCCTCCTTCTTTTCTTCTTCACCTCCTCATTCTTCTTCTTTTTCTTCTACTTCTTCTCCTCCTCCCCCTCCTTCTCCTTCTCTAATTGGTTCTTCTGCATCCTCCCAAGTTCCTTCTTCATCATCCTTTCCTTTTATTTCATCCTCCCTTAGTCCTCTTCTTCCTCCGAGTCCCTCTCCTCCTGCACATCCTGCTCTTTCTCCTAATCCACCTTCCCACCCTCCTCCCATCTCTTGCCCCTCTTCTCCTCCTCCACCACCACATAATCCACCCTCTTTCACCAATTCTTTAGAAACTCGACCTTTTCTCAATCACCCAAACGCCACTTGTTCCCATACCTTAAACGAGACCACGCCCAATCCGCTTACCCCTCGACCATCTCCCAACCTTCCCAAAGACCCTTCTCCGGGATTCCCCTCCACCCCTCATCCTGCATCATCCCCTCCCCAAAGAAAGAACACCCACCATTCGAATCATGCGGCATCTCGTTACCACGTCAAACGAAGCGATCGCAAGGCCCTGCGAACCATCGCCATCATCTCTGCTACGTTCTACGTCATATGGGTGCCTCTCATTGTCTACGATATCCTGAACTTCATAGGAATCAACGTCAAAGATTATGTGACTTTAGTCAAGTTGATTCTAATGGCTAGTACATGGTGGAATACTTTTCTTTATATCGGTACTGACAAGAAAGTTAGAAATCACGTTTTTCATTGTCTTATGAAGCTTGTACGGTGCAAAGACAAAAACAGTAATTAGTTGTGAGTTAGTAGTGGATGCGTCATGCATGAGACTAGGCCTAAGAAAAGAAAATGTATTATTGCCCTCTAGGTGCCAAACATGGGTCAGCCGGTCGGAATTTTTTTTTTCTTCCTTTTTAAATCCCTCTTTGGGCTGATATTCTCAATTTTGAATGCTTTAGTACATTTTTTTTCTAAAAAATGGTTTTAAAAAAAAATAATCTTTTTTTTGGGGTCGGTCGCAAAGGGCAATACAAAATCCTTTTTTTTTAAAGGCCCTATAGAAAGGTAGGTTGAATTTATTATTGTGCTAATCCGGAAGATTGAGTCAACTTCTTTCCGTTTTAATCATTGTAAAATTTCTTGATTGATTTAATTTACCGAGTATATTTAGGTACCATTTTCATTTGAATCCGTTCACGCATGACAGAACATCAGACAATCTTTACAAGACTGCCAGATTTCACTTGCGCAAACTTACTGGGTGATGAATAAAACAGTGCATTGAACAAAGACAGGCAGACAGACACAC